ATATTCTTTAGGAAATAAGTGGTTCCCACACCTGGCTGGGCATCAGAATCAGGGGGTAGGGACGGGGAAGGGAACTTTTTAATATTACGGATTCTTGAATGGGGCCCTGTCAAGGCAGGGGTGGGGAACTTGTGTTTGAAGCCAGCTGTCCACTGAGTCAGACCTCCCCTCGGGCTGCACTAAGGGAAGGGCTCCTCTCAAGCCCAAGATCCTGACCCCGGCTCTCCAGCGCTTCCCTGGGTCATCGTCTCTCTATGCTTTTGTTTTCGTGTCTTGATGAAAAAAACTGAGTTTCTAGAGTCAATCTAACAATCATAATGGTGGTGGCTCATATTTCACACAGTGGGAGCTTGTGTCAGGTGCTGCGTCATTTCTGTTGTGATCACAGGGGTTATGCATTTCTCCCGTGATTCTGGAAAGCTCCACGACCGACAATACCACCTTGTTATCGCAAGGTTCCCAGATTCTGCAATTCTCATGTTCCCCAAGTTTCCACGATTCTATGTGTCCACCGCAGCGGTGGCAGACGGGCCGCCCATGGGCCGTGTCTGGATTGCAGATATGTTTCGTGGGGCCTGCGTGATGTTTTAAATTTGAATTAAATGCTGGCAACTAAAAACGAAGAGTTTCCATGTAAAAATCCAGATTCTCTCGAAATCGGCACGGGTCCCACTTACGTCATAGCCACCAGCCAAGCGGTGTGCAGGGCGCCCTCTTTAGGTGGGACATGGTGTTTATTCACCAGCCCCCATCGCTCCCTCTGGTGCCTTGACCCAAGGCAAAGGGTCAGTTGTGATTCAGCATCTTATACCCAGTTCAGCCCCTCGTTTATGCGCCTGTCTGGCACCCGGAGGGATCTGGGTTTGGGACTGGTCTAGGCTCATCCGTAGTCTTCCCGGCCCTGTCCTTCTGTGTGGCCGAGAGGCTACCACTCTAACACGCCGTTTCCCGTGTTTGAAGAAAGTGGCGTGTCTGCAATCCACTGTATCTAAGCCGGGGCGTGATGTCCCTGTTCCCTAGAGGCTCTGCCTTGACTCCCAGGCCGTGGAGCCCTGTCACAGAGGCCCCTTCCTGCACGCCAGGCAGGCAGGGAAGCCTCGGGCGGGCGAGAGGGCTGCTGGGAGTGGAGAAAGCGAGGAGAGCAAGGCGGGAGGCCCCTGTTGCATCTCCTGGGCCCCTCCCGCCCCCGCCTCCAGTGTGGTCCCGGAACAGCAAGCCCGTGCACACCACCATCCTGAACCCCCACATCCACCTGATGGGTGACGAGTCGGCCTGCATCGCCTACATCCGCATCACGCAGTACCTGGACGCCAGCGGCATCCCCCGCACCGCCCAGTCCGAGGAGACCCGCGTGTGGCACCGCCGGGACGGCAAATGGCAGATCGTCCACTTCCACAGATCCGGGGCGCCCTCCGTCCTGCCCCAGTGAGCGCCCCTCCTTGCCCCCCGCCCCGCAGGGGAATCTAGAGGAATGGGGGAGCCAACCTGGGCTGGGGGTCACGTAGGGGAGGCAGGCTGCTGCCTTCAGCCTCTGAAAGGCTGCAGAGTTGCAGGGGCGGCGGAGGGAGCCCTGAGAGAGAACGGGCTGGCCTGCAGGTGTGGGCAGGCGAGGGCGGGAGCCCTGGGAGGCAGTGCGCACTCCGTGTCGGGTGGCGGGTGGCCTGGCCGCCCGAACGAAAACACGTGCCCTCAGGAGCGCCCACACTCGTGTCTTTCAGCTGAAGCCCCAGGCCGGGGCCACTGCGTTGCTGTGCCGCGGAGACCCACTCTTTGTCCGTGGAATGTGGCTGCTGGTTCTCCCACTTGGATGTGGCTGGAATTCCCCCGTCGTGTCCCCCCCACCACCGTCAGCTCTGTACCCGCATCGAGAAAACCTGCTTGTTCAGAAAAGCCATCACAACTTCAAAGCAAATGGCCAAATTTCCCACCCCCTACCTCTCGCTCTCCTCTCTCTCCCCTGCCAGGCCGGGGCCTCCTGGGGCCTGGGTGCCGGCCCCTCCTCCTCCGCTGCTGCAGGCTGGAGTGCCAGCCGCTGGGGAGAAGGAGGGGCGAGGGGGCGAGGAGCAGGGTGTCCACCCGTCCCTCTCACGGCTCTCTCCTCTTCTGGGGTCCCCCAAGGAAGGGTAGGTGAACCCCCAGCCCCCCGAGGGAGAGGGTGAGAGAGGAGCAGACGCCAGGAGCCTCCTGCCTCAAACGGCTTCCCCCTCCTGTGCTGGCCTCACGGTGGTCCGCAGACCCTTCCCTCAGCGTGGGGGGCGCCCCCCTCTCAGGGGCCCCGCTGCTTCCTCCCGGTGAAGTCCTTCTCCAGCAGTTAGCCTGCCCGCCCTGCCCTTCTGTCACCCCGAGAATTCCAGCTTCGTCTTATCTCAGAGAGGAAATCTCATTGTCTGGCGGGGGCAAAAGAAAGCAACTTAGGTGTCACTTCTACTCGGACCGCATGCCTTTTTATAGCCAAACTCCTGTGTATTTCGTAAACGAATTTCTTGTTAATGGATATTTATGTAATAACTAGACCTCTCAAATTATTGTGAGAACGGTTGGGCTCGGAAGCGGGGTAGGAAGAGGGGTGAGGGGTGGTTTTTTTCTGTTCTAGATTATTTCTTTTGTTTGTTTGGTCATCTCTGAGGTGGACCTTGTCACCTGTGGTTATCTGGGGCCCAGGTGGACTCGGCCCCAGGGAGAAGGGCCTCTCTGCCATTTCGGCGCCAAGGTAAGCTGACGCAGGCGTTCCTTTCGGGACTGTGGAAGCATCAGATGGCAGCACCGGCCAGGAAACAGCAAGGCAGGGCAGAGAGGCGGAAGGAGCCTGTCGGGATGGAAACATCTGGACTTTTCTTTGCTTCCCTCCCACGCTGGGGACCTCACTACCGCACTTCCCAGGATCTCATGTCACCTTATCTGTGTGCCGCCCCCAACGCCCCCGCCCACCTCTAGGGGGCCCGTGAGCATTTGTCTTCATCGCCTCTCTCCCCGTGGCATCGGGTGGCTGAAGCAGAACACTGGGATTTCTACTCCTCACGCCTCATCCCTCGGCCTCGGGTTTGCACTCTCTCTCTTTCTTTTCCTCTCGCCCTCTTCCCCTGGGATTGACTCTGATGTGGAATACCTTGGCACATCCACTAGGATCTACTGTCTGCACTGTTTTCTTTGCATGACTTTATATGCAGTAAGTATGTTGAAAAAAAAAAAAACAAAAAGAAGAAAAACACTCAACAAAACCAATCTACATGTTTTGAACAAAAAGAAAAAAAATAGAGGTTGTATTCTCAGTGTCCAACTCGGAATTATGTTGCTGCCTCTCTGTGCTTTTGGCCTCTGTGTGGCCGTGTTTTGCCAGCATGAGATACTGTCTCCTCTGGAGGATTTTAGGGGAGGAAGAGCCACATCCCCGGGGATTTGGAGGAGGCTCTGGTACCCCCAACCCTCCTGGGTGTTCTTGGTTGGAGCAGAACCGGTGAGGATGTTTGATCCAGGACTTTCTGAGTTTTCCCCGATCATGAGCTGTCTGCTGGGCTCAAGTCCCGCTGCCCGGACCCCGTTGAGACGGGCTGGGTGGGGGCTACAGGCCAGGAAAGAAGCTGTCCTGGCCTCCTGGTTTCCAAGCTGGTCCATCACTGGCCTCTGTTCTCGGCTCAGACCTTGCCCAGAGGGCTTCCCAGGAAGGCCCAGTGATCCCATTGTACCAGCAGCAAAACCACCTGTCCCCCTCATGAGCTGCCAGTTCCCTACAGCCATCCCTGGCCAAAGGTGAAGGCGCCTTCGCCAGGGGATGCTAAAATCACCGAGGCAAGGTCTGAGCCCTTCTTTAGCCTCAGTTTCCCCATCGGTTAAAAGGGTTAAATGCTCTGATCTGGCCGATGGAGGATCAGACCTAGGGTGATGCGAAGCCCAATGTACCTGTGAGAACTAGCGGGCTTAGCCCCCGGCAGGACTCCTCCTGTTTACTTCTGGACCTGGCCAGTCTCCCTCCCCTCTCCCACCTGCCCTTCATCCCCCTCTTTGGTGCCTGTCAACTGCTTATCAGCAGTGGACTGCAGGGGAGAGAGAGCAGTAGTTTGGGGGTTAGCAGGCTTCAATTCCCAGCTCTGACCACACCTGCTGTGTGACCTTGGGCAAGTCCTCTCCCCTCTCTGGGCCTTGGTTTCCCAAGCAGAGGAAACTGAGCTGGAGGACGCCAAGGTCCTGCCTTTCATTGGCTGACACACCTCCGGTCCACCGTGCCCCTCTCCAAGTGCTGGAGAAGTGGAGGCACGTCCCTACCCCAGGTTCCGATGGCCCCCACTGGGAAGGCCGCGCCTGTGGGTGGGCAGCGCCCTGGTGCAGATCACAGGGCACCAGGGCTGATCCTGAGGCAGCAGGCAGGGGACACTGGCAGAAAAAGCTGCCCAGAGCCCACCCTCAGCAGACAAACTCCGTGCTCCTGCAAACATCCTGTAGATGCAAAAAAATCCAAACCCAAGTCAAAACCTAGGCTCCAGCATGCAAGTTCGTTTACAGGAAAGCATTCTCCCGGGTTTGTGCCCACCACAGTGCAAACCCTGACCTGTGGCCTCCTGTCTCCCTTCAAAGGGAGACCCTTTGGGGGGATGTGTTCGCCAGACTCCCCATGCTGGTTTCTTTGTTACTATTTGTTTGGGGTTTTGTTTCAGTTCTTTTTCTTTTCTTTTCCTTTTTTAAAAATATGTGGCTGTGAACTTGAATGACCACTGCTCAAACTTTCTGCTATTGGGGGAGGGGGGCGGGAAGGGAAGAAGGGGCGTCTGTTTTATTCCTGGTGTTTTCAGTGCAATAAATAGCTACAAACTTCTGTGCACTCCACTGTCTACCTGACTTGGTCAAGTCTCTGCCCGGGGAGGTTTGCGTTTGTTTCCTGTCCTACATCTGCCCCCCATGGGCCCCATCCTCAGAGCCAGGGATGGGGTCAGCTTCCTCCGGGAACATGGGGTTACATGGGGTTAACAAAAGCAAGGCAGTGGGTACGGGTTGCCCCAAATAGCCAGGAGCTGAAGTCTCCCTCGGGCCTTGGGGGAAGGTTCTCCTCCTCCAGGACTCTGATTCCCCTGTTCAATGAAGAGGTTGTTCCAGAGGTCCCTCCACCTGTTCCCTTCCCTCCGCCCAACCTCACAGGCAGAGCGCCCAGACAGCGGGTGGGAGAAGAGGGAGGAGAGGAAGGGTCTCTTCCCACAAGCGTATTTTGGGCCCAGTGCTTGGGGCAGGGGCCTTGGGCCAGAGCGCAGGACGGCGTGAGAGTCCCCATGGGCTGAGGGGACGCTCAGTGCCACATCAGAGGCCACTTTGGTCCTCTGAGTCAGAGCCGCTGGACTCTGTCGGGGCCAAGTCTGGACAGTGATGCAGGGGCTTTGGCCCGTCCGGCCACGATAGAGGATCACCCTTCCCGGCCGCTGCTGGGGGACTTCCCAGTGCTAAAACCAGGACAGCACTAGGTGAACCGGGCGAGTGGGTTAGCCTAAGCCAGGACCACACCCCGCAGAGGCCTAGATTCCACAGGGCCTCGGGGATGTACCCGCGGGAGCCCACAGTCCCCGGTAGACCATGCTCCGGGTGCCCGGGCCCCCAGAGTCCCTGCACCTGCCACTCTCTGGGCGTGTCCTCGCTGCCGCTGTGTGGGGTGGCCACGGGGAGTGCCTGTGGGGATGTGCGTCTTGCACACACGTGAGGACCTTCCCAGTGAGAGCACTGGCCGTGGATGAGGAGGGCAAGAGGGGCCTGGGGGCTTCCACTTGCACGCTTACCCTGGAGCTCAGCAGTGTTAGCGCCAGAGCCCCTCCCAGCTCCACCTTCACGCGCCCCAGGACTTCCGGCGCCCCGGGACTTCCCGCCTGGGCAGACGGGTTGAGGGCGCGGGCGGCCATCGCACACACTCGCCAGCAGGTGGCAGCACAGGAGCAGGGAGGGCCCCGTTGTCCTCAAGGGATGTCCTTTAACTCTGAAAAAGTACCAAGGCCACTTAACAACACTATTATTATCTCACAGGAGCGTGGCGCTCCACAATTCACAAAGCGCTTTCACAGCACCCCTTGTCCCAGTTCCGACAGCCCTATTTTGAGGATGAAAACAATGAGACGAGGAGGCCCAGCCTTCTAGCTCAGAGCACAGCGCTCTGCTCCCTCCAGGCGCCTTCCTTGCCCTGGCCTGGGCTTCCAGGTCCCTATCTCTGGACAGCCGGCACATAGTGACAGAGATTCTCATGCACCCACCTCCCTGTTACCCTCTGTCCTCTTCCAGCTGCTGCCCCGTCTCTCAGTTGTCTACACCCCCAGCCTGCATAGTCCACACCCGCTGCAGAGGGCTGGCTCACTCACATTCGCTTGCTGAGAGCATTGCAACAGCTCCTCGCCCTTCAGGACACAGCTCTGGGAAGCCTCCCCTGACTGCCCAACACACTCTGGGTTCTGTCCTTCCTCCGGCTTCCACAGCAGCCTGTGCCTACCTCACCACAGGTCTCTGGTTTAAAGTCATCCAACGAAGTGTCTACAAAGTGCGTGTGCCTTGAAGGCAGGACAGCCTCTTGTCCATGCTCAAGATGCATGCAGCAGGTGTCATCGTTCTTGCAGCGAGTAGACCCCTGGCAGGTGTGTGCTGCTGCAATGAGGGAGGAGTGGATGCTGTGTGGGCACAAGTATTTCACCTGCCTCTGCAGTCACAGGGGCTGACACTTCCTGGGTGCTGACCAAGCGCCAGGCACGCCCCACCTCCTTCACAGGTGCTCCCTCCGTGCTCCGCACAGCCCGCACTGTGGGCACCATCATTCTCTTCATTCCATGACCGAGGAGACTGTGCTGCCCAAGGGGGAAGAACCTGCCCGAGATGGCCCAGGGCACAAGGGAGGGAGGTGACACTGGGAACTCCCTGGGGCATACTGCAGCTGGGCTGAGCTGCAAGGGGGGGCTCAGGGGTGAGCTGGACCTGTCTTCTGTCCCCCAGGAATCCCTGTTGCCATTGCAGACAGCGAGAGACACGCCGAAAGCAAGACCCCAGGGCAGACTAGGATGGGGCTGGACCTGGAGCTACAAAGCGTACAGGGCCCAAAGGAAGCAGCAGGAGGAAAGACAGTGATGAGGCTGTGGCGGGGGTTGTGGAGGTGCTAGAAGGGGTGAGAGGTGAGTGAGTGTGGAGGCCAGGGCAAAGGCTGAGAGCCCAGAGCAAGTAGGGGTGGTGGGGGTCAGGGGGAAGAACAAGCTTGGGAGGAGGCTGGAAATGTCAGAGGGCGGAGTGAGCCCAAATCTGCCATGGGATGGGCATGCCTTTCCAGGGCAGGGGGGCCCCCAGCAGTGGACATGGCCTTCTCCACACCTGGGTCGTAGCAGATCCTTAGGAAGCACCCCCCAGCAGATGCGGGAGTCTTTGCCCAGTGCAAGGTGGCGGGTCTGGCGCTCTGAGAATGGGCCCTCTCCTTGTGCTTCCTCCTGAGAGCAGCCCCACCCTCCCTGCTCCACCTGGGCCACCCAGGTCTCAGAGGCCACTTCCCTCCAGGCAGCCTGGTCTGGCCATCCCTTCCCAGGCCCGGAGCCTCAGCTGGAGGTGGAGGGAGTTAGGGGGAGCTGGAGATGGACTGTCCCTTCCCGCCCCACCCAGAAAAAGAGAGGATGATTACCATTCTCTCCCAGTGTGACATTGGATGGGTCACGTCCCCTCTCTGGGCCTTAGTTCCCTCATTATTACATGACCTTGAACCTGTGGCCCCCAAATAGGGGAACTGAGCTGGCTGCAGCAGAATCACCAGGGAGTTTGCTAAAAATACAGATGTTTCTGGCTCCACCCTCAACCAGTCTGGGCAGGGGTCCAGGCAGCTGTAGTTTTAGTAAGCACCCAGGTTTGGGAACCTTGCATTGAGGACCCCTCCTCCAGTCCCCCCAGTCACAGTGGGAGCCCGAAGATCAGTTATTGGTCCCACCTGAGGCGTCCTGCTCTCTGGCCTCCTCCCTGACTCAGCTAAATCAAAATTGACCAGAGGCCCCTCCCCTGCTAAGCCCCGAAGTTCTCTGAGACCCTGACCCTGGAGCAGCAGAGTCAAGGTCAAAGCAAGGCGAGGCACCAGGGTGGTGTTATTGCTGTGCCCACTCCCACTTTGCTCTGGCTGGGCATCCCAGTTCACTGGAGAAACCGTCGGGGCTCCCAGCCACTCCTCCAGCTCATCGGCAGGAGGAATGAAACTTCTTCCCACCAGGCAGAGCCAATGCCAAATCCATCTCTGAAGAAGGGGTCGCTGTTCCCCTCCCCAGCTCCCTGGGCGTGTGCCTAGCAGAAGGCTGAAGGGGGGCAGGTGGAGGCAGACAGCCCCCTCCCTCGCCTCTCTCCCCCAGGCACCTCTGTGGGGCTCGCTGCTCCCGTTCGACCCATTCATCTCACACACGGGGACACTGAGGCCTGGTCTCCAAGGCACATTGCCATCGAACTGGATGGTGCCCTGAGCCTCCAGCGCGGCCTGTCCCTGGCTCCAGCCATGCCAACCTCCAACCTCCTCCTCTCTCGGCTGAGCCTCAGTTTCCTCATCTGTACAAGGAACAGCTGGCTAATGAGAACCGACCCACCTAGGAGGTTTCTACATGCTATGCTTTGCCCTAAGCAGTCTGATCATTTTTTAAATCTATATATTGAGCATCTATATTATCTCATTTAATCCCCTGCAAGGCAAAATCTATTCTCGTCATTTTATATCTGAGGCCACTGGGGTTCAGAGAGGTGACGTAGCAGACTCAGCCAGGCTGTGGAGCTGGGATTCCACTCCGACCAGTGGGCGTCTAAGTCCTCCTTGGCCCCTCCCGGCTACAGTTCTGTAGGGGTTGAGGCTCACAGAGGCTGTGGACTTGAGCAGGAAAAGACTTTTTTCCCAAAACAAAGAGTGCTCCTGAATGGGGGAGCCCAGAGGAGGCCTCCGTGTGGCCAGGCAGGCGGGCTGCGCCTCCGTCCTGGGGGAGCAGCCCAGGCGGCAGGAAGTCAGTCAGAGACGGGGCAGGGGATGCTGGCCAAGCATCGGCGCGGACAGGCAGCCCTGGACGCCCTTCCAGGGCAGGACCAGCGTCAGTGAGGCCCCAGGCCCCGGAGGGAGTGGCCTGCAGCTCCAGGAACCAAACTTTCCATGAGCCACCAGCAAAAAATGAGTCTGGAGGGGAGAGTCCACCGCAGACCCTGAGGCTCTGCCACCAGGGGTCACGTGGGATCCGGAGGGGCCCGACACCGTCTTAACTCTTTGCTGGTTATCCCCAGAGCCACCGAGGAGCCTCGTGCAGTTCGATGCTCCATCGTGCAAAGCTGTCGACCAGCCCCGTGCGGTCACTGGGGGGACTGAGGGATGAGGACAGTCCAGTCTCTGTCCTGGAGCAGTTGGTGGTGGGGCAGGGCCGTGGACACAAATGTGTTCCTTCCATCAGCAAGCATGTGTCACGTGCCCCCCGAGACCCTGTGCTGGGGCCCCGCAGCACCATCCCAGACCCGGGCGAAGCCCCGGGGAAGTAGGAGCTGTTACCCGTGTGTTACAGGTAAATAAACTGAAGCTCAGGAAGGTTAAGTGACTTCCCCGAGACCGCACAGCCAGGCAGGGGCAGAGATGGGCATGCCCCCTCTGCACAATGCCCTGCTGCTGCCCCCAAGTGCTCTGGGGTCCCAGGGGCACAATACAAGGGTCTCCACTACACAGAAATCAAACGCGTCGTCTCAGAGGGACGCCAGCGGGCGCCCTGGGCAGGCAGGGCTGGGCTGCCGGGAATCGCCGGACGCAGGACTGAGTCAGACCCTGAAGACTCTAGGAGGCACATCTGGCTGGGGACGGAGGGAGGCTTGCGGAGGGGGGGACTTAGGGGGGACTTGAGGGGATGGCTAGGATCCCGAGAGGTGCCTGGGAAGACGTCGGAGCAGGGCGAGAGGCACTGCCTAAGCGGAGGCTGGGAGGCAGCACAGCCGGGCCTGCTCGGGCACAGTGTGAAGACAGACGTGGCTGGTGATAGAGGGACCCAGGGGCAGGGCCTACTGAGGACCAAACACTAAGGCCACCAAACCAGTGTGACCCCCGGCGTCTGGGGGCCCTTGCTTGGTCCTGGGAACATGGCTGACGCTAACGGCGTGGGAGGAGCCCCCCCTCCGCGCCCCTTACCCCCGTCCCCTCCAGGTTTGCTCTGAGATCACAGGCTGGATGTGACTGCAGGTGCTCCCGGGTCTCCTCTCAGCGTCTCCTGGCACCCAGGGGATACCTCTGACCAGACCCGGCACAGGAATGAAGGGCCCCAGGGCGCCTGCCCCGCAGGCACGTAAGCTGCCCCCCAGGCTCCGCAGCAGCCCCCCGAGTTCCTGTATCCACGGACATGGGTCACAGGGAGTGGGGGAGATGGACAGGGAGGCCCTGGGCCTGGCCTCAGCCCCACACCCTCACCTAGGCCGCTGGGCAAGCCCCCACCCCTGGGCTGCTCATCCCTAAGTCTGCAGAGCAGTCAGCCCACGGGGAGCAGACAGGAGGCCCTAATGGAGCCATCTTGTTTCACAACTTTTGCATCAGTTGTCCACATTTCACATTAGGAAATCCCCATAAAATCCCAGCTTTCCTGCTGCTCCCAGAAAGCCGATCCTGGGCCACCTTCCCAGAGGAGACCCCCTTGCGCTTTCTCCTCTAGTTCACCGCAGACCCCACCCCCACCGCTCCCTCTCGTCTTTCCAGAACTCTCCTGCTCACAGGGACAGCTTTGCTCACCTAGATTCCCCGGCTGGCCCTGTAGGCACGTGGGTCTGCCACCGGCTGGGACATTCTGGGATTGCAGGCTGGGGGCCCACTGAGGACAGGGCTGCCATGTCCTTTGAGCTGCCTACTGTGCGGTCACCGGTCCCTCCCCCTGGGGCTCCCTGCTCCCCAGTCAGCTCCCACTGCAATCAGGGCCTGGCTGGGAGACCTGACCTCGATGCGGGGACCCTGACGGGAGCAGTTGGGAGATGGCACAGGCAACAGGAGCGGGTGGGGCGGCAGGAATGGCCCTCTGAGAGCAGAGGAAATGGAAAAAGCAGGAGAGACTGGAAGACTGGGCCAGGGAGGCCAGGACAGGGACCACAAGCCCGGAGGCAGAGGTGAGGCAGGCCGCTGGGACCCCTGGGGTCTCACTGTTGGAGTCTGGAGGGAAGAGAAACCTAGACTCGCTGTGCCCCAGCACACCTGGCTGCAGCCAAGAGGCCGGGACAGGAACACTCCCCAGCCCAGGTGCTGCACTGGGGCGCTCCCAGAGGGCTCAGGGCTGGGGGCCCTGCCAGCAGGGCTGCAGCCACCCACCTAGTGTGGGAAGAAGCACCCTCAACTGTGAAGGCCGTCCTTGCATCCCTTGCAAATGAGCAAATTCATCTCTTTCCCCCATCTAGAGCCCCAAACAAAGAGAGGTAGGAGGGGGGCCTGGCCCTTTGTTAGGGGGAATTTATTAATATCTGAACTATGCAGCCCCCCTTCCTTTCCACCCCCATCAAAGCCTGCGCAAACACCTGGGCCTCCCATTTGAAAGGCCCGGGGGGCTCTTTTATATGACAAGGCCCTGCCAGGAGGGGGTGGGTAGAACCAGGACATTCTTCCTGCCTGGGAAACTCTTGGCTCCGCCCAAGCCTGGTCTTGCAGATCCAGCCTCCACCTGGGGTAAAGGCTGAGGTGCTGGGGAGGAAAAGGCAGCCGGGAGGGGCGGCGGGGGGGAGGGGGGAAGATACAGGGAGGGGGCCCTGCTAAGGGCTCTGCCCGCCTTGGCTGGGCAACCCTGAGCAAGTCTCTTCCCTTCATGGGCCAGGAACTGGGTGGTCTCTAAGGGCCTAGAGTTCCTCTTCCTTCCTGAGCCCCCGCCCACCCACACTGTCAGGGAAATGGCAGAGCCCTCACCAGAGGCCAGGAGAGCTGGGAAGGGAGGTAGCTGAGCCTCAGTTTCCTCATCTGTGCAGTGGGAGCCGGAAGGCCTGTGCTGCCCACCTCACGGCTCCCAGCACCAAGGACACAGGCCAAGGAGCACGACTTCACGTGGTGTTTATTAACAGCAGCCGACAGAACGCAGATGGGATGGGAGACACCAGAGACGGGGCACAGAGGAGACACAGCTGCATGAGGGTCCCTGCCCTTCCGGAGAATGCCATGTGCAAGAGTCCTGCTCGGGCATTTCTGCACCCCACCCTCCTCTCTCAGTGCTCTCTGCCAGCCCCCCTGCTAGCCCAGGCCCAGGAGCAGCTGGGCATGTGTGGGGATCACCTCAGGGTCTCGAGGCTGCCCTGCCATCTACAACCAAGGCCAGCTTCCCAGGATTGCCTGGAGCTGCGGGACACAGCAAGGGCTGCTGGGACAAGGCAGAAGGGACTGTGACCCTTGTTCCCACCTCCCCAGCTTGTGCAGCTCGGGGTTGGCTGGGTGAAGGGGTGGCCCTTCTCTGAAATGCTAGGGCTTCCTTTTTGTCCCCACCGCAGCCCAACACCCTGGCTCAGGCCACCAGCACCTCTTGTTCCTCCTCCACAGGCCTCCCGCCTCCACCCTGCCTCCCTCAGATCTGCCCTGCACAAACCCAGAACTATGTTCCCCTCCATGCATCCCCTGGCCGCCGTCCTGGTGCCTGGCTCCCGCTGTCACTTCCCCTTCGGACTGGACTGGCTGGGAACCCTCCTGCAACCTGGCAGTGGTCTCTGCCCCAGCCCGCTCCGCCTCCTCCTGGCCCAGAGGCCCTCCCACCCTACTCTCCTCTCCCTCATTCTGCAAACCGCTCCCCTCCTCCTGGCCCAGAGGCCCTCCCACCCTACTCTCCTCTCCCTCATTCTGCAAACCGCTCCCCTCTCCTGGGCCCTCAACTCCCACCTCCTTCAGGAGACCCACAGCACCAGGTCTGCGGCCGGAGCCCCGGGATCCCTGTCTCCATTTGACTTACTGGCCCTCCGTCCCCTCTGCGGCCCTGACTGTCCCTGCCCAGCTCAAGATTCTGCTTGTGTTGAAGTAGTGGGGACAGGCTCCCCGAGAAAAGGGAGGAGCGTGGGCCCTGAACAGAGATGAGAAGGTGGTGTCAGCTGCCCCAGGGGAAATGAAGCTGGCTGGTCAGGAGGCCTGGGGTCGAGTCCCCTCTGCCATGTGACGTTGAGCAAGTCCCCACCTTCCTGGCCTCAATTTGCCTATCTCCAAAGTGAGGCTGAGCTGGGTCATTCTCAGTTCTGAATGGGTGTCTGTGTGTGTGTGTGTGTGTGTACAGGGAGTTGACGGAGGTTCCAGGAGGGGCAGAGGCCACAAAAGGGACTTGCACACCTGGGGGAGCAGCATCACCTCCCGCAGCCTCTCAGAACCCCACGGGGCACGGCTGGCCCTTGCGGCCCCTCAGGAGGGACTGTGAGGCCTGGGCAGGGCCTCTGTCCGCCTGCCTCCTGCTTCACATCATGGACTCCTCCTCCTCGGCAATCTCGCGGTCCACCTCGATGGCCGTGTTCTCGAAGCTGGTGATGCCCCCGTACTTGCGCATGTGCACCATCAGCGGCTTGGGCGACTGGCTCCCGGCCAGCGTGGCCACGTACATGCCTGTCCGGTTCTCCTCCAGCGACGGGCCCCAGTCCATGGCCGGCCGGCTGGCCTGCTGGAGCCGCTGCAGCGGATGAACGGCAGCGGTGAAGACGGGCAGGGCTGGCCGGGCCCTAACCGGCGCCAGGCTCCCAGCCACGGCCTCCCCACATCACCTGGCGCAGTCCCTGCCACAACCCTGCCTCCCCACATCACCTGGCGCAGTCCCTGCCACAACCCTGGGCCAGAGGCGGCAAGGGAGGTGATGGCCTGGGGTGGGGGGCCCAGCGAGTGATCCACATGCCCGGATGAGAATCCCGTTCTGCCACTCAGAAGCTGGCTGGCCTTTGGCAATGCCACCGAGCTCTCCGTGCTCTGCCTCCTGGTCTGTAACTCGGGAGTCCCCAGCCCCATGTCCTAGGGTTGCTGCGAGGACACTGAGAGGATGCACTTGGCAGGGTGGTGGGGACAGGGTAAGGCCCGGAAGTGGTGGCTGTTGTTATAATTACTTGGCAAGCCCCTCCTCTGAGCATCCGAAGGCCGATCCGGGAGTCTTCCCTTAACTGCTGCGCGCTAAGGCGCTGGGAGGTTTTGGGAAAGAGCCATGACCCGGGGAGAACTGAGGCGGGATCGCAGCTGACGTCCCCAGTCTCCTCCAGCCCTGACTTCCTGGCTCCTTCTGACACTGACCTTTCCCTCTGGAGCCCCAGTTTCCATGGCAGGAGGGGGCTGACTAACACGATGACTAAGCCTGGACGTTCCAGAATTCCTTCTTCCTCAATCACGGTCCCCAAACCCTCTGGCTGCTCTGCCAGGGAGAAGAGCCCCCGGACCCTTAAAGAAAAGGAGGCAACAGCGTGACGTGCAGCTTCCCGGCTGCGGGTCCCCGGGGAGACACCGTGAGCGATGCCCTTAGCCAGGGGCCTCGCACAGCGGGGGGAGACTTCAGACAGTGTGTTAAGGGCATGTTACCCCACTGCTCACGAGCCTGCCAATGGCTTCTACCCCACTTAGGTGACGTCCTGCATGTTCACCATGGCCTCCGGGGCCTGGCCCCGTCTACTTCCCTGACCTCGGCCCCCACCGCGCTCCCTGCTCCCACTGCTCTAGCTGCAGCACCGGCCTCCATGCTGTCCTCAAACACCTTAGCCCCTCCTGCCTCAGGGCCTTGGCACCTGCTGCCTTCTGCCTGCAATGTTTGCCCCCTGGATATCTATATGGATCAGGTTGTCCATTTAGTCACATTCTCTGTCACCTCCTCAGAGAGGTCTCCTCTGACCCCACTGGTGTCAAAATATCATTCTCCATCCCTCTATTCCTGTACTCTGCTTTGTTTGCTCATTTTTAAAGTGTAAAGTGTATAGTGTATACTTACCTTTACATGCCTGTGTACCGCCTGCCCCCCACATTAAAATACAAGCTCCCCGAGAGCAGGGACTTAGATTGCTTCCAGCCCAACACCAGTGCTCAGAGCAAGGTTTCTGCACCTGAGCGCTATCGAAATTTTGGTCTGGAGAACCCTCTGCTGCAGAGGCTGTCCCGTGCACGGAAGGACACCTAGCAGCATCCCTGACCTCCATCCACTAGATGACAGTAGCACCCCTCTCGAACCAGCAATGTCTCAGACAGTGCCAGTTGTCCCCTGAGGGCAAAATCACCCCCTATGAGAACCCCTGGCCTAAAATTGAGCACCCACTGTGCTTCGGCTCTGTGCTAAGTGTTGGCTTAATTGTCACAGTATCCCAATGAAAGGGGTATTATTACTTTTACCCTCTACCCTCCCAGATATTATCTCAAAGTTAAAGCTCAGAGAGGTTGGTTAAGTTGGCCAAGGTCACACAGGTGGGAAGTGGTGGCGCTGAGATTTGAATCCATCCTGAACTTTTAAAATACTTTGCTTTTCTGCCTCCCACAATGCTAACTACATTGATACACTCCTTTTCTTTCCAAAGCAGCCCTACGGTAGGTATCACTGTACCTATTTTAAAGACAGAGAAACAGAGGTTCGATGCGGTGCAGTAACTTGCTTACGGTCACGCAGCAGGCAAGTGGCAGAACCGGGATTCCAATCCTGGTGTGTCAGTGTGGAAGCCCTGCTCTCTGAAGGTGGCACTGCTGAGCCAGGCACCCTCTCTCCTGCAGCGCTCACTGCCCACCTTGAGCCCCCAACAACGTGCCCCTTCCACCTGGCAGTGGGTGGCCGCAGCAGGGCAGGGGAGAGGCAGTGACTGCTGGGCAGCCAGGCATTCCCAGTGGCTCCTTAGCAAGGCTGGAGGATCACCCACTTCCCAGGAGCTGGGGCGCCCACCCTGAGCAACTCTCCTCTCTTCTTCCCCTTGCAGACACCCTGGCTCCCAAGCAAGGAGACAAGGCTCCTTCAGTATAGCACAGGTGGATCTCCTGGGGTTCGAAAAAGGGAAGGAGTTTGCCCCAAGTCACACAGCAGTTGGAGGCAGAGCAGAGGCTGGACTCCAGGCTGCCCCTGTGGTCAGGGGGCTGTGGCCACAACCCACTTCTGCCTGGGAAGGGTGGCAGGACGCTGAGCCCCTCTCCAGGGCAGATGTGAAGGGGAGGTGAGGGCTGCCGAGGGGCAGTGCAACTCAGCGGGGGCAGCAATGTGCTGGGAAGTGGGTGTGCAGGAGGGGTAGGGGAGGCCTGCTCTGCAGCCAATTTCAGTGGTGTAAATATTCCTGCCATTGTCCGTTTTGAGCTATCTGTGGCTTAACAACTGGCTCACACATTTCTGAGTATTTCGTGGTTAGCTCTCATGAACCAGTACGAGCTGCCTCTAGCACCTCTGGTAGGATGTGTGTGTGTGTGTCTGTGGGGGCTGGGGTCCCCCACACTCTCTCTGGGCCCCATCAGGCTCATTCCAGCTCCATGTACAATGGCAGCATCTTGCCACCCGAGGACTCCACACCCATGGGTGCAGAAGTGAAGGGCTCAGTGTCCAGAGGGTGCCCTGAGGCTCAGGCAGGGGTGGGTTTCCCTGTGGTCATACAGCATGTCACTGGCCCACTGGGTCACTTCTGTGGTCATACACCACAGGGTCACTACTCCGCTTTCCCAAGGCCTGCAGACCCCCGTGCCAGACAGCTTGCACTCTGTTTTCTGGGTCTGTCTCCAAAACCCTGGCCATAGGCAGGGCTCACACCACCATTCTATCCCAGGCCACCTGTGGGACTTGTGGGCACAGGAGAAGGGTGATATGCCACCCTCTGGAGTCTCACAGTCTTGCCATTTGACCCTGAGTTCCAGAGGGCAGCTCTGGTCTGTGACCTGAGTTCAAGTCCTGACCCCTGCCTAACTCACCGACATACCCGAGCCACCCCCTGTCATCAGGGGTCACTGGATTGTGCCACCCCTCCCCTGAGGCTCCATGTGGCACAAGGTGCCACAGGGCACGACTCCAGCCCCTGGATCTGCCTCAGGCTGAAGAAGCCTGCAAAACCCCGTATAAGGTGTTGGTGTGGCCGTCTTCTCTTCCGGTGGGGGGCCCAGGGCAGGAAGGCCGAGGGCGGGCAGTGCGGGACACTCACCTCCCAGAGCGAGCCCTCCTCTCTAAGCACGGCCACCAGCATGCCGGCGGGGATCAGGAGGCAGGACAGCAGGCCCATCAGGATGCCCAGCAGCTCGGCCCAGGGCGGGAAGCGGTAGCTGCCGTACTCCGAGGGCTGGTACTTGACAATGCTGTACACCAGCAGGGCCTGCAGGGTCAGCGGCTCCAGCGTCACAGTGGGCCCTGGGGCTTGGCATAGCCCAGGTCTGAACTACCTTAAGGTCTGAGATAGCCCAGCCCAGAGCCACCCAATGTCCTAAGCTGTACCAGAACCTGAGATTGTCCATCTCTGCAGCCTCTGCAGGGCCTGAGCTAGCTCCAAGCTAACCCAACACCAAGGCCTGCAACAGCCCTGCTCAGAGGCACCCTAATTCCTGAGATGACCCATCTCTGAGCTGCTCCAGCCCCAACAGGAGAAAGCACAGCTTCAAGGTCCCAGCCCTGAGGCCCCAAGGCCTGGGAAAGCCCCACCCACTTACCAACCAAAGCGCCGCACAGCCATGAAAGCTGGGCATACCATGGGGTACGAGCAGACAAGGAACCCGGTGCCCACCCCACAGCCCTGACAGAGGCTCCCCTGTGGACCAGGGCGGCCCTACCAGACTGCATGTGCAGAGGGGGTCCTGCTCTCAGCCTAGGGGCCCCAGCAAGCAGCCCTCCCTCCCAGCCCTGGTTACCAAGAGCGTGGCTGGGGACAGGAACAGCCAGCAAGCCCTGAAGTAGAGGCCCGGCTTGAAGCCCAGCATCATGTGGATGTCTCGGCAGAACCTCTGAATGCCTGCAAGGGGCGGGGAGGAGGAATGGCCCCACCCGCAGGACCCACAAGCCCCAGCACCCCACCCCCACCCCAGCTGCCCCCACGGGAAACCATGGCCCTTGGGACCAGGGACCCAGGTGCAGGGGGGCTCCAGGGTGGACTCCCATCCTCCCACCGCGGGGAGCCTCGCCTCCACCACCCTCAGCCCTTCTCACCATACACCCGGGTCACGGCGAGGCACGTGGTGATCACCACCACCATCAGCCCGAAGCTAGCGCTGTAGTCGTCCAGAAGGACCAGCCAGTACATGCCCCCCTGGAACACAGGTCGCAGAGCTGGGGCCCCTCTCCCAGCCTCGTCCCTGCTGCAGCCCCCTCCTCCTGGCAAGAAGGGATTGGGAAGCAGGACGACAGGACGACAGCTGGCCACCTGCTCAGCCTCCTCGGCCTGACGACGGCCCACTCTCGCACAGCCCCCACTTTATCAACGAGGGGAAACAAGCTCAGGGAGGGGAAGTCACTGTCCCGAAGCCACTCAGCAGGTGTGGGAGCAAGGTTTGAACCTGGGTCTTTCCAGCTCAGACTTCAAAGCCTGGACTTCGGGTCATAGGGCTGAGCTGCAGCCCCTGGGAGAGAGGGCCTGGGGTGGGCTGGGCTCCTCGGAGAGAGAAAGACGTAGGTGGCCCAGTGACGGCTCAGCCAGGCCAGAGACCTTGCTGCGGCTCCTGGCCCGGCCCCACCCGGCCTGCCGTCCTCCCTGTCGTGCCACTCACTTCGGTGGTGAGGACCAGCCCCAGCAGGTACATGGCCACGCAGATGAGCCCCGAGAACACCACCTTCTTGGGCCGCAGGTAGTACGGGAACTCATCTGTCACAGCTGTCACGATGGTCTCCAGAAAGGCAAACTGGGGGGAGGACACGGGTTGGGGGCCAGAGTCCTGCACCCACACACACACACACACACACACACACACACACCCCACCAGGTGCCCGCTGCCAAGGACGAGCCTCACCTGGCTGTCCAAGCCGAGGGTCAGAAGCATGAAGAAGAAGAGGAAGGACCAGAAGGGCGACAGAGGCAGCATGGTCATGGCCTGGGGGTAGACAACAAAGGCCAGGCCGGGGCCTGGGCCAAGGGCACACGGGGTCAACTGCTTGGGGCGCGCAGTGGGCCCCCATGTGCACACTCAGACACACACGGCCACTCACACCCTCCTGGGCCAGGTTTTTAGCCAAGCCCAGAGACGTACACTGAATGCACACTCCGACACTTCTTAACTCCTCGGGCATAGGCCAGCACATTGTAGGTGCCAAATAGACATAGGTTGATAGAACTGTGAGTTAATAAGTGCATGAATAAACAGAAGACCCACATATAAAACATCATTAGAACACACTTGTGTGCACAATCATTTGACAAATAATTGCACTAACACACATCCATTGGCACAAGACACACAGATTCCAAGATCATCGTCACCCTGGATTCACTTGCACACTGGCATCTGAACACATAACAGGTTTCATTTGTACAAACAAGGCATAAAACGTGACAACCTCATACAGACACAGGTTCATGCAAACTCGTGTGCACACCCATCCCTTTGCATATGGATACTCAAAGACCAGTTAGGACATGCTCATCTGCATGCATATGTGTGCACACGCACACAAACACACCCAACATACCCATGCACAATCTCGCTGGTCCACACACAGGCTCACTGGCCCAGCCCTAGCTGTGCCCGACACACACCCTCGCCCCGCCCCCCGAGGCCTGGCAGCCTACCCACCTGCTTTGGCTACTTGGTCCACAGGCACACCCAGCTCCTGAGACATGTAGCCCAGCACGGAAAAGATAGCAAAGCCAGCCAGGATGCTGGTGATGGCATTGCCCAGAGTGACAATGAAGGTGTCTCTGCCAGGAGAAGTCCAGGCACAGGCCAGGGTGAGCTGGCCTTACCCTCAACCCCCGATGCCCTCCCTGGCCAGCCACTTTCCTCCCGGCTTCGGCCCCCCGGGTCTCGGAGGCTGCGGGGCACTGACCTATAGATGTTCTGGTGGAACGTGTTGTAGGAGGCAAAAGTGAGGAGACCCCCGAAGCCCACACCCAGGGAGTAGAAGATCTGAAGAGCAGCTTCGATCCACACCTGTGCCAGGAAGGATAGAGGGTGGGGCAGAGAGAGGGGCTGGCACACGGTGGTGCGCGGAGGGCCAAGGAGACGGAAGGTGGGTGAAGACAGTGCGGCAGGTCCAGGGATGGTGTGGCCAACAGCCTGGCCCACAAGTGCTGTGGGCCGGCAGCAAACCCTGCTCCAAGGCTCACACTTTGAGACATGGGCAAGTCTCTTCCCCTCTGTGGGCCTCAGTCCCCCGCGCCCCCAGGATCCAGAAGGTGATCTCTAAGCTTGGTCCAGTTCTGAGACATAGTGCCTGATATAAAATTTCAGTAGATTCATATTGACAGCAAGCCTGTGCAACTCCTTTACTTCCTGCGTGGAGTCACGGGGACCTGGATTGGGGTCCCAGCTTCTCCACTTTCTAGCTGTACGGCTGGGAAGCCAATCACCTCTCTGGGCCGCACGACCCTCATCTGTAAGGAGGGGATGGGAATAGTGCCCACCTCACGGGGGACGGTGAGGCATAAATCACTGCACACATGCAAAATGCTAGAGGCGGGTCAGGCACAGTCACCCGTCAGTGAGTAGCAAACGTCCTCTGTCAGTACCACTGTTGTCAGCATCATTACTAACGCCCGCCTTGGGGCTTGGAGTCACACAGGTATGCACTGGGAGCCCTGCTCTGTGAGCCCTGCTCTGCCACTCCCCAGCCGTGTGACTGTAAGCTTATACAGTAACTCTGTTAGGCCTCAATTTCCTCATCTGTAAAATGGGGAGAATGACGTTTACTTCACAGGATCGTTGAGAATAATAAATAAAGTATAATACATAGTTAATGACAATGTATTGTATTCTTGAACAATGCTAAGAGAGTGGACGGATGTTATTAATAAATGTTCTCACCACAAAAATGACAATTACGTGAGCTAATGCACACGTAGCTAGAGGTAACCATTCCATGATATACATATGCTTCAAAACATCATGCTGTACCTGATACATGCACACAATTGTATCTATCAGTTTAAAAATGAAAACGTAAATAAATAATAAAATAAATAAATAATCTTAAAAAGACACCCAGGGCCCAGGGGTGGGCATGCGACCGGGGCCCAGCCAGGCAGAGCATTCCACCTCCCGCCACAGCACGGGAACCGGGCTCCCCACTTGGAAGATTCTGGGCCCTGCCCCCTCTTGTCCCCGAGGAGCCCTCCTTCCACCCGGGCTCTGGCCCGCGCCCGCCCTCTGCGCCCAGCCCCGAGGCCTCACCTTGGAAGACAAGAGGTGGTGGAACTCGGGGGTGAGATAGAACTGGATGCCCTTCCAGGCCCCCGGGAGGGTGACCCCGCGGACCAGCAGCATGAGCAGGATGAGGTAGGGGAACGTGGCCGTGAAATACACCACCTGGGAGACGGTAAGCGGGGAGCTGAAGGCCGGGCACCCTCCTTGCGTGCCGCTCCTGTTCATGCCATCCTCATCGAGGTAGCTCACCTCCCCGGCCTTCGGGAAGGCCACGCCGGGAGCCGGCCTTCCTCCAGGATGCTTCTCTGTCCCCCCCATTCCTCCACACCCCCAGCATCAGCAAAGTGCTATCACCCCACTTCCCAAGGCCATCCCAAGCCCATCTCCACTGCGGCCCCTGGTCCAGGCCTCCTCCTCCCCGGGTCCACTCTCTCCCCTGCAAACCCACTCCACACTGTCACCAGACATTCGGCGCTCCCAAAGTCCCCTCTGCCCCCTTTCCTCCTTTTCCCAAGCCGCCAGCCACTCCTTAAGCAAACACTATCAAGTCTCAACATCTCACGGCCTTGGCTTTGACCATGATCACCTCTCCCCTCTTTCTAAATGCTTTCTGCCCTGTCTTTTGAGTCTTTCTTCTAAGGGCTCTGTTCCTTGTGGATGACACTTCTCACACTTTGCAGAGGGACAAGATCTAATTTATAAAAGATTGAGTAAACCATTCATAAAGTTCCCAAGTCCTTTTGAAATGGCTTCATCACCCTTCCTCTCCTTCCTTCATCACCTAAAGTAGACATCTGTGGCCTTGTCCTCCCAGTTTTAGTTTGTCTTCTTCAGAGAACAGCATCCTCACTTCCCCTAGCTGGGGCCGACACCATTCCCAGTTCCAGGGCCGGGCATGTGACCCAGGCCCAGCCAAGCAGAGCATGCCACCCTCTCGGCCACAGAGATGAGCTCAGGGGTGGGTACAGGGCCTCGCTGACCCAATTCTAGGGTATTTGTGAGCTGGGGAAGGAGACAACCCTTCACCAAGCAGATAAGATGTAAGCCTGGAACTGGGTGCGAGGGCCAACCTCGTGGAGAATGAAGCCAGCCTGGAAGAAAGCACTGCTGAGACCCCGACAGCATCTGTGGAACCCCTAAACCCAACTGTGCCCAAGGCACACCCTCCAGACCTTCCAAGTGAGTGTGACAACTGGGTTCAGGTCACTTGCATCTCCAAGAGCCCTGACTCACATACCCACCCTCCAAGCATTCAACGAACTCTTGCTGAGCTCCTTCAAAGTGCCAAGCACTGGGTAAGGAGGCACATGGGCGACATGCAGACCCTGCCCCGGCGAGCCTCTGGCCCTGCAGGGCAGCCGAGCCCCCTGCCGTCTGCACCTCCACGTCTTTCCTCAGGCAGAGCTTGTCCCCCAGTGCCCTCTCCCTTCCCCTCCTCCTGGCTGAAGCCTATTTATTTTCGCAGACTCAGCCTCCCCGAACCCAGCCCCTCAGGCCTCCGGGGCCCCCCAGGCCTCACCTTGCCCGAGGACTTCACACCCTTGAGGATACAGAGGAACACGATGACCCAGGCCAGCAGCAGGCAGAGGCAGAGGTTCCAGCGGATCGCCCCGGGACTGCCGATGCCCCGGCTGCCCTGGATGTGCAGCACGTATCGGCTGCGGGAGGCAAAGGTCTGAGTGTCCCCTGGTCCACAGACACGCTCCACAGGCGTGGAGTCCAGCCGTGTCCAGCCTGCAGGGCCCTCCTGCTCTGCTCCACGTGTCACCCTCATGATCCCCGGTCCTTCTCTGACCAGCTCTGCTCCCAGGAGCCTGGCCTCTCCAGACCCCATCACCTGGGGTCCCCTCCTCTCCGACTTCCATTTGCTTTGGCAGATGGGCGGCAACAGCAGGATACCAGAGGGTGGGAGGAGCGAGGGGTGTGGGTATTTGCACATACACGTGTGTACACACTTACACGCAATTGGGGGGCTGGCCGTGGCAGTGTTCCTCTGCAGCCACAGCTCTTTCTGGGCAGTCACTCTTCCCAGGCTCCAGTTCTCCCCTGGTTCCCTCTCCTTGCCTCCTCGGTTCATGGTGCCACCCTCTCCCTGTGGCTAGTCCCTGGTGCCTCACCTTTCCATGTGGCTTCCTGGCCCTCTGAGAAGTCCCTTCACTAAACTCCCTTCAGGTAAGCCCTCTGACAGTGCCATCTGCTTCCTGCCCACTGCCATCTGCACGCCCGACTGATGCCGTGGGCCGTGGCATTGCCATGGAGACCCCTCGCAGCTGCCAGTGACCACGTCAACTTCTCTGGCTGTAAGCTGCAGACCCAGGCCCTTCCTTTCCCACTGGTCAGGCGTGCTCTACTGTGTAGAGTCCTGGCCCTATGTTAAGTGCTTTACCTATTGATATAGCAGGTGCTCAGTAAATATTTATTAAAAGAATAAGTGAGTGTGTAAATGACTGCATAACATCCTATAAAGTAGGGGCTATTAGCATGCCGTTATGGGGAGGAAACTGGGACTCCATGATGTTACCATTCCTGTCATTATCACCACCACCATCATCATCGTCAGCTCACTCTTACTGAGCACTCACCACACACCAGACTGGACTGCATGACTCACATGCTCCCTTCCCTTGCCCTTCACAACAGCCCCTGAAACAGCGACTATTACTGACCCCTTGCTAAACACAAAGCAACGGAAGGCAGATAAATTGTTCAAGGCTACGGGGCTGGGCAGGTGGGAGCTGGGAGGGGGCCACGGTGCACCTAACACCAGCGCCTGAACTCATCTTCCAGGTGCATGTGGAGCCCCTTAGGGATGCGCGCGTCCTGCCCTCTGCCCACCCCGGCGGCGCGGGGCCCTCTCACGCTGCCAGGCAGCGGCGGCCTGACCTCCAGTACTCCTCGCTGGGGCTGACGGTGTTGGTGAGGTTGAGGGGCAGGGCCCCGTTGCCGTCCTTGGAGCCTCTGTGCTCCAGGCAGAGGTCCGTGTTCCACCAGTTGCCACAGTGCTCCCAGGGCAGGTTGCTGGTGAGGGAGGCGAAGAGGTAGAAGAGGACGTAGGCGATGATCATGTTGTAGTAGATGGCCACCAGGCCCACGATGAGCAGCATGGCCGCGCCAGCACCTGGTGTGGGGGGAGGCTGCTGGGCTGCTTGGCTGAGCCCTCTGCAGGCCGGGGGGCGTGGGCCCGGGGAGCCGGCGCCTTACTGGGCTCACCTCCCTGCCTGTGTGGAGCTTGGGGCTGGGATAGGGCAACCTCCCTACTCCCCCAGGCCCAGACACCCACCCACCCTGGGGACCACGGAGGCCTCACCTTTGAAGAGGGGGCTGATTTTCCAGACGGCCAGGGGCCCCAGGCTGGAGAACTGGCCCAGGGAGAGCTCGAGGAAGAAGAGGGGGATGCCGCAGATGGCCAGCATGAGGAAGTAGGGCACGAGGAAGGCCCCTGCGGAGGGAGGGTCAGCAAGGGTCTCAGGGCGGCTCCCCCCAAAGCCCGGCTCTGGCCCTGCCCCTCCCCAGAGGCCGTGAGGTCTGTCTGCTCTTTTACACTGAGTCCCTGGGGCTGAGGGGGCGGGAGGCCATTCGCTCACCTCCGGAGCCCCAGCGCCCAGAACAGGGCTGGGCTCAGAGCAGACACTGAGAAATGCCTGCTGAGCGAGCAAAGGAATACATGAGAAGAGGAACGAGTGAATTTTCTGCTGAAGGAGATCACTGCCCTTCAGAATCTGGCCCGACCCATCCACCTAGCCCCTCTCCCCCACGTCACCCCAGATACTTGTGGCTGCCACCTGTGGTTCTGTGGGCACAACATCCCTCCCCGTTTTCTTTGCATATTGGCAGCCACCTCATTTAGAGAACTGCCCACCACCATACGGCTCGGGAAGGGCTGCCAGTCACACCAGCCCACCCTGCCCTCCTGCCCTCCCTCCAGCCCTCCACACCCCGCTGTGGGCACTTACCCCAGGCCAAGCCAATCAGAAACCTTCCCTGAAATTCTGTATAGATTCATTCAGATAGAGCAGTTCTGGAAAGCTCTGGGGTTGCTAAACCCACTGACTTAGAATGAAGTCATTCCAGAGTTGTCTGTGGCCACTCCACCCCCCCCCCCAACTGCAGGGAGAAAGCCTGTCTCAGGTGGAAAAAATGAGGTCAGCACGCAGAGAGAATGAGTAAAGAAACGGGGAGAGGGAGCGCTAAGAGGCACCATGGGCAGTATTGAGCTCCTGGAGTTTCAGAGGGCAGCTCCAGTTCTGCACTTCCTAGCCCTATAAATTTATCTTCTCTTTGCTTCATCTATTTTTTTTTTTCTTATAGAGACAGGGTTGTGCTATTTTTCCCAGGCTAGTCTCGAACTCCTGGCCTCAAGTGAGCCTCCTACTTCGAACTCCCGAAGTGCTGGGATTACAGGTCTGAGTCACACCGTGCCTGGCCTGCTTTATCTAGTTTTTGTTTATTTGTTTTTGAGAAAGAGTTTTACTCTGTTGTCAACGCTAGAGTGCCATGGCATCAGCCTAGCTCACTGCAACCTCAAACTCCTGGGCTCAAGTAATTCTCCTGCCTCAGCCTCCTGAGTAGATGGAATCACAGGTGTGTACCACCACGCCCAGCTAGTTTTTTCCATTTTTAGCAGAGATGGAGTCTCACTTTTGCTCAGGCTGGTCTCAAACTCCTGAGCTCAAGCAATCCTCCCACCTGGGCCTCCCAGAGTGCTGGGATTACAGGTGTGAGCCACCGCTCCTGGCCTTGGTTCATCTGGTTTTATTTGGAGTTCTCTCACTGTATAAATGCATACTTCTTACAGGGTCTGGTGGAGATGCGAGGGGATACAGATTACTGGTGAGAGCACGTTGGCCCTGGAGAAGATCGTACTGTGTTGGAATGCCGGGTCTGCCACCCTATGGCTTTGGGCAAGAAGGTGGGCCTCTCCCAGCCCCGGCTGCCACATCTTCATGGTGCCTGCTCCACGAGGGTCAATGTCAAGGTTAAAGGAGATGGGCACGGAAAGCACGAAGCCCAGGGCCTGACAGGTGGTGAGCACTCCACCCAGCTATTGCTCATAAGCCCTAGAACAGCAACTCGATGGAGATGCAAGGACAAAAGGGAATTCTATAAGATGAGAGAGATTTCGTGTTTGCAGTCTGAATGGAAGGACCCAGGGGAGAAGGGGAGATTGAAGATTCAGGAGCGGGAATGATTGACGGGGGAGGCGCTGGAGGAGGCGGGAGGAGGCTGCCGCACAGTGCTCATGGACAGGCAGATGCAGCTCTTATCACGAAGCAGGCAGCTCCCTCTGCCCACCACGCAGGGCCCAGGAAGCACCCAGCCTCAGGGAGAAAACCACGTGGGTGTCTATCCTGGGAGCATCACCCAAGCAGAATCGTCCCTTCACTTGACCTCCCTCACTTGAGGGAGGAGGAGGGGCTTGGGTGACGAAGAGGGACAAGGCAGGGTGAGCTCCCTACCCCCAGCCCCAGGCCACTACAAAACACTTTCAACTAAATCCACCCAAGGTCACACAGAAGACAGGGGCTGAGGTCACCTAAAAGCTCACTCCACCCCAGAGCCTTGGCCCAGCACCCTGGACGCCCATCAGCGAACGGGACCTGGGGCCATACCTCCTCCGTTGGTGTAGGCCCGGTACGGAAAGCGCCAGACGTTCCCCAGGCCCACGCAGTAGCCGATGCAGGACAGCAGGAAGTCCAGCTTGCCTGTCCAGTTCCCCCGGTCTGCCGCAAAGTCCATGTCCAGGTCGACATCGCCCTGGTCACTCGGGGTCATCAGCAGGTCAGGGGTGACGGGCTACCAGTGAGAGAGACAAAAGGGGTGCAGGAGGAGGTGAGGCCAGGCTAGAACTCTGACCCCAAGATAAGCATATGGAATCAGACAGGGCTAAATGGAGAGAGACTCTATCAGTTCAGATAATCAAGTGCTTTTATCTGGGCTAACACGGTCACATGCAGGAGACCCTCAGGTTTTAGGTGGCTCTAAACTTACTGAACCAGCAGGTGGCTCAGGCACTAAAAAAATGATCCTGATCATTGTTGGCTCACAGTTTGGCTAACACAGAGGTCAAGTGAAGGGACGATTCTGCTTGGGTGATGCTATCTTAAGAACCGTTACTGTGTACTGAGCACTTACTATGTGCTCACTGCACTAAACCTTTTACTCACATCACCCGATTTCATTCACAAAACAACTCCGTGAGCTACGTACTCATCCGAGCTCCACTTCAAGCATGAGGAAAACTGAGGCTCCAGGAGGTGTCATGACACGCCCAGGATTTTCACCAGGCTGGCCAGTGGGAGAACTGGGTCTCGAGCCCAGAGCTTCCCGATGTGGAAGCCTGAGTCTTCACCCACCAGTGCTGGAGTTTTGATCATTCTGGGCACCATAGATTAAGAAGGACAGACAGTGAGCAGCATGTCTAAAGGCCAGGTGGCCAGACTGGAGGGTGTTCAGGAAAAGAGGTTACAGGAGGACACCGGGAAGAAGCTGGGAGCCCTGGCATGGAAAGAAGAAGGCCTGGAGGGACGTGGGCTCCCCAGAGGGAGGGATTGGGCTTCAGCTCTGTGGCTCAGGGGGGCCTACTGACAACACGAATTTTGGCTCATGTGCAGGAAGAAGCAACTTAAGCCCGGGCCTGTCTCAGAAAGCCACAACATTGCGTCTCTGGAGAAGAGATGAATGCACAGAGGCGAGTGGAGGCCCTGACGCCCCTTCCATGGTTCAAAGTGGGTGGGAGGTCGATTGGGCATTCTCCCCTCGGAGACCCTCAGTGGTAGTGGCGACCACAGTGGTGATTTAGCCTAAAGCTGGCTATTAGCCACAAGGGCAGTGGTGACAGGGACAGCCTGGCATGATTATGGGTGATGGTGACAATGACAAAGAGCATGGAAAAGCTGCTTTTAAAGTAACTAGGCTCCAAGGGTTAAACAAACACATGCCTGGCATTTCCTTAGCTGTGATCTCGGACATGCTGAGGTGAGGGTAGCAGCAGTCCCCAGGCTTACCTGAAACCCGCCCCTCCCTTCCTGTGCCCCTCTCCCCGAGGCTGCCTCTCCGGCTGGGTGAGCATCAGCCTTCCGGAACCTCTTGCTCCCAGGTGAGTTCCAGGAGGGATGGGGTAGCAGCCAGTTGACACTGGCCATGGGCACTGGGTGGTGAGGCAGGCCAGTCACCCTTAGACCCCCCCAGCCCCATTCAGGCCAGCTGGCAGGAGGTCCTGGTAATGAGGTTCCTCTGATCCCTCCAGAGAAGCTGCCCTTTCCATGCTCATGGAGCGGTCCTGGCTCTCTGTTTCCATGGCGACAAGAGTTCCAAGAGCAGGATGCTGCCAGCTCGTCCCCTCCTCCCCCAATCAGAGGGAAGCCTGCTTCTGCTCCAGGGGCAGGGGATGGGGTCCTCCACAGCTGAGCCACTCAGGAGCCCACCTGGAGCCCCCAACCCTACCACGGGATGAATCCCAGGAGGCTGGCACCATGAGGATGGGGCTGGTTTGGGGACAGAAGGAAGCAATCAAATAAATGGGGCAGGGTTGGAAGCTTAACGAGTTGTTTCATACTTCCGCCTGGGTGTGACGCTCCCACTCCTGAGTGCCCCCACTCCCTGCCCCAGGATCAGGCAGGAACACACACCTGAGCTTGTCACACCTGCACCCTCCTCTCTCTTAGGGAGCAGCAGATGGCGGCCCCCACAGCAGGGGCTGGGAAATGCAGGACTGCCTGAGCCAAGTCTCTCGTACCTTCTTCAGGGCAGACAGAGACAATGGGGATCTGCAGTCCAACTTGATCATTGTACAGATGAGGAAACCAAGTTTCAGGGAGGGGAAGGGATGAGCCCAAGGTCAAACAGCAAGTTAAGGGGAGAGCAAGACTCGGACCCTGATCCCGTGACTCCCAGTCCAGTGCTCATCTCTGAACACTGCTGCTCCTTTGCTGACATGCCATTTTTTCACCCCCTGCCCCTTTCTCCTTGAGACCAGGGGACGGGACCCTGAGAGGAGGTGGCCCCACCTCTGCCCAGTGAGCTCTAGGTTGCTTAGCCTACCTGCAGGTAAGCAGTAAGCCTCACCCCTCTGTGTGTCAGTTGCCTTGTCTATAAAGTGGGGATAATAAGACTCAGACCCCAGAATTGTTGGAGGATTAAATAAGATAAGGCCCGGTAAGCTCCCGGCCTAGCACCCTTCACAAAACGTTACATCATGTGTGCCAGAGAGGGGCGGGGGTCTTGTGGGGACAGAGGGCAAGGGGGAAGAGGAGAATGGACAGGACAAAGGGGACAGGACAAAGAGGATGCAAGAGACCCACAAATGGCCCCAAGAAGTCACTCACGTCAGTGAATAACGAAGACACACCACAGTGGTTCCAAGCCCAGCTGCCGAGGGCAGAGAGCTTGAATGAATGTGTGTGTGTGTGTGTGTGCACGAGTGCGTGGGGGGGTGTAACACCAGCCCCTGAGAGCAGCTTCTCACGTCTCCCAGCCCCTTCCAGTTCACAGCGTTCCTCTCTGCGCACTCGCAACCCAGCAGGGCCTGCTTTGGTGCCTCCATGCTGGGGGGGGGGGGCCAGCCCTCGTTCAGGTTAGAGGATGAACTTGTCCAAAGTCACAGGGCAAGTGGCAGCTGCAGAAATGGTTCCCCGGAGATCTAACCCCTTGGTTAGGACTGGTACCAAACCAAAAGCCGAAGGCCCGAAAACTTCCCCAGTATCCCCCCTCCCCACAGGCTTACAACTTGCTGGGAGGTCCGACCGCCAGGTGAGGTGGGCACTGGCTGTGGTCTGGGCCCAGGATGCCTCTCTCATGGCAGCTTCCACCCCACCCAATATCCTTGGGCCTCCCGTTCCCCCGCCCTGCCTTTGCCTCCCTTCAGCCCTTTGGAGGGGCAGCCTGATGTCTCAGCCAGGATGAAAATGCTGCCAGGAGATGAGGGGAGGCAGGAGGAAGCAGGAAAGAGGAGGGTCCCCTGCCCCAGGCTCATGGGGCCTGCTTCAGTGCACAGATGAGTGCCAGGACCGTACCCCCACCTCCCACCCCTCCCCGAGACATCAGTCCAGCTCAAGGCTGGTGCCCAGCTATTCTGACATCCACTACCCTGCAATCAGCCCCTGGGGGAAGCAGGCGGCAGGACTGGGGAGAGACCCGAGCCTGGCCCCTACCAGGTGCCTCCTGGGGCTGCTGACACCTGTTCACAGGGCCTGGCCCAGCGTACCCCTGCCCCCAGCACTCTCCTTCCCCATCCCCAGATGGCAGGGGCGGGGTTGGGGTGCAGATCGCGGCGACCCTGTCGCCCCTGTCATCCCTCTCGGCTGGGCCTCCCCCACAGCCCCGAGCCAGCCGGTGCCCCCTCAAAGCCTCCCCAGGGCCTCGGTGGGGGCGGGCCTCTCCAGCCCTCCCTCGGCCGCCCCGCCCTGGCGCCCTACCTTGCGGAGGTGAGCTGCCTGCAGCTTCTTCATCTTGGAGGGCTGGTGGCTGGGCTCGCCCGCTCAGCTTCCCGAGCGCAGAGAGCGGCGAGCGAGCGAGAGATCGCCGCCGGCCGATGCGCCCTTGCCCCGGCGGCTCCCGCGCTCCGGCTGGGGCGGGCGCGGACGCAGGCGCTGCCGTCTGGCGGTTGCGGGCGTGGAGTGCGGGCCGGGCGCTGCGAACGCCTTGTCTCTCCTGAGCAGCGCCCGCGGCTGGGGAGGGGTGCACCGCGGAGCCCGCGTAGACACCCAGACAGACGGGCTGACGGACAGACGGCGGGGGATACGCGCGCCCCCGCACGCAGAGCTGCGGATTGGAGGGGCCGAGCGAGTGGGGAGGGGGGTTCGCGATGGAATCTATGGGTCTCCTGTGTGACCTTGGGCAAGAGACCTGCCCTCTCTGGGCCTCCCTTTTCTTAGGTGGGCAACTAGGGAGACAGGCCCTGTGCATGGACACTAACAGCCCAGGCTTGGGCTCCAGCAACCCTCTGCCTCGTCGTCTTTGCCCTGCGACCTAACCTAAGCCCCCTGCGTTGTCGCTGCACCTGGAAAACCGGGCTATAAATCTCACCTCCCTTCGTGGGGTCTGAGGAATTCAGGGAGATGGAGCATAGAAAACATCTAGCACAGGGCCCAGCACTTAGTAGGCGCTTAGTTAATAGTCAGACTGTGGGGTGCGCACTACACCATTAGCCAGATATTTACCAATATTTCTTGGGGACCTGAAATGTGCCAGGTCCTGGGCCAGGCGTCTTATTTTTCTCTGCCTGGAGGGCAGGTGTCATTACTCCCACTTTACAGATGAGGAAACTGAAGGACAGAGAGGTTAAGTTACTTCCTTGAGGTCACAGAGCTAGTGGGTGACACCAGAGACAGAGTCAGACCTCATGGACCTTCCAGGCTAGTAAGGGTCCTCAACACTCCTTTCCTTGGGATGAAAGCGAAACGGGGAGGTTTGGGCAAGGATGAAGGGACAGACAAGTGCCACCATGTCATCGTGATGCTTTGTGACTTAGACTATCAGCAACTGGGTTCCTGTCCACATGCAGTATGGCCCTGGGAGAGCTATGATCGCATATGTGGAAAATGAGCCACCAGCCTAGGATGGGAAATTAGCTGGAGCAATCGTACGCGTCGGTTTGCTAGGACTGACTGATATACGCTAGTGGACTGCCGTGGACGTGATCAATTGTGCCCCTTTCACTGTCAGAGTGGTCCAGTTCAGACATTAATCATATATGCGCTTGCCCTGCCATCCGTCAGCATGGGGGAGGCCTTCGGGGAGGGATGAGAATAAGGATCTGCTCTCTTTCACCCTTGGAGCTTGGAAGGAGGCGGCAGGAGTTTAAATCAAAGCCTGGGCTTGAGTAAAGGCCCAGCCAGGCCCCAGGGCCACCTCTCCTTCCCAAGTCCCATCCAGCTGCTCTTCCCTTTCAGCCTAACTGCACAAGGTAAGCCAGGGGCTCTCCAGACCCAGGAGGAATGTGTCCCCTCTGCCCCTTACCCCTAACTCATGAGGCCGAGGGTGGCCATGAATGTGAAGAGAAGGAACATTTATTGGGCACTACTGTGCTCATGATGGACTGTAACACCCAATATCTCATTTTTAATTCTTTCCAGCAGCCTGAGACGACAAGTTTGGGCATCTTACTTTAACACCCAAGGAAACTGAGAGGAGTAAAATCATGTGCCCAAGGTCACACCGAGCACTGAGCCTCTGGGGTTTGGAGATAAAGCCAGGAGAGCCGTGGGCTGTGCCTGGGGAGAGGCAGAAGCCAGCGCCTCCTGAATCCAAGGGGGCCCAGGCAGGACCCGCCCCAACCCAACCCCAAGGCCTGCCACTGCATCTCCTACTGCACCTCCTGCCGGTGGGGTGGCAGCCCTGCTGAACTGCTCCCTCCTGCAGGCACCTGAGTTTCATTCGGCCCTTTGGAAGGCACAGAGACCCATAGGAACGAGGAGTAGGGAGGGGAGCTGGCGCAGAAGCTGGCAAGACTGGCCTCTTTATGGCCCCTTCCTGGAGGCCCCTGGTCCCCCTGCTTCACAGCGACAGCCCTGGGAGAGGAGAGGAGGGGGGAACAGGGCCAGGACTTCTAGCTTCCTTGAGTAGAAACATCATAGGGTGACTACTGAGCATCAGTGGCAGTCACCAGGGCTGTGGGGTGTCTCTCAGATGGGGAAACTGAGACCCAGAGGGGGCGCGCTCACTCAGGGATGCAGAGACGGAGTCACGCCTGTAACCCAGGAGCCCGACCTCTCCCAGGCCCTGCCCTCCGGCTCCCAGCTCTCCGCCACCCTCTCCTCCATCTCCACAGCCCCAGTTGGGAAAGTCCGCACTTTCATAAAACAAATGAATCCCCAGGATGTTCTAGAAGACATTGTCCACATAAATCAATCTATCCACTGCAGCTCCAGTTTTACGATAATACAACTGGCCAGGAGTTCTGGGACCACACACACGTGACCATTGCCGTTCCCACCGTCTCCTCTCCCCCACTGCAGAGGGGGCTTGGGTACTACTCGGCAAAATACCTCCTGCAGAATCCAAATGGTAAATACTCAACCTCCCTCTCCCCCTTCCCTCTCTCTCTGTCTCACATCAACCCAGAAGTGAAATGGAGATGTGTGCTGATTTAAGGAAAGTGTTAGATGAAAATGTACTTCCTTTTATTATATAGGGAGATATTTTTAAATGCATATAAATAAACATTTTTAATTTGCTTAAACGTTCAGATTTTATCGCTGTAGAGCATGTGTTTTGTCACACCAGGGAGTGGTGACTGTGAAAAAGGAGGTTCCAGGCTGCTCGTCCATCTGGTGTGGTTCAGAAAAAGTGGCTCCGGAGTAGCCCCGCTGGGAAGGGCTGCCCCCTGCAGTCCCCTGGCCTCTCCTGGCGTGCTGCATCCCCTGGCTGGGCATCTCATCCCCCAGAGCCAGGCTGCTTTCCTCAGAGCTCCACAGCCCCTTGTCCTAAGCCCTGTCCTCATCACAGCCCATCTCTCTCTCTCTCTCTCTCTCTCTCTCTCTCTCACACACACACACACACACACACACACACGCACGCACGCACACGCACACATGCATCCTCAGCTGCTAGAGACCCCCATCTCAGACACTCCCCTCCAGCCCTGAGCCCCTCTCTGGAGCAGAGTGGTGACTGCTCCGCTCAGCCCACACCGACCTCTTGGCAGTCACTCCACAAGCTCAGGTTCCCAACACAGGGGTTGGGGTCTATAGACGCCCTGAAATTGTCTGTGAAGCAAAAGTGCCAACGTGCACAATTCTGATTTGCTGGAGGCCACGACCAAGCTGTGGGCCTTGGAGGGCCAGGCCAGGCCAGATCTATTTTTTTCTCTGGATCCTAAGTCTTCAGCGCCAGTGCCTGCCACCCAGCAGCGGGGGAACACAAAATCACCGTGTGCAAAGCAGCGCCAGCCATTCCTGGTGGGAGAGCTGGAACCCTGCTTACCTCTGGGGTAGCTGTAGGGTCTGATAGGACCCGTGGGGTCTCTTTCCTGAGCCATTACAACACTCTAATTCCTGGTGGAACTTTTGGGGTGACAGGGAACTCACAAGGCACAAGGCAGCCCATTGGGCTGCTTGAAAGTTGTCTTAGATAAGTTTTCTTTCTCATGGAGCTCAGACACTCATTGACAGGTGATCACCAACCCAACCTGCGGGCCCCAGGCAACCTCCTAACCTCCGCCAGCCTGCCAGGCCTGGCCACTGACCTGCTGCCGGGCAGAGGTCTTCCTGAGGCCGGAGGTGGTCAGAACACCAGCCAGGCCTGCCAGCATCTCGAATGCAACAGTCCCATGAGCAGGTGGCTAAAACACAAGCACCTACTATGTGCTGGGCCCTGGGCAAAACATAATTCTAAGATCAGTTAGGATATTTTATTTCCATTTGATAAATGAGGAGGCTGAGGCTCCATAAAGCTAAGTAACTTGCCTGAAGTCCAGCAGTGTGGAAGTCGTCACGCTGAAAGCCAGGCCATCTGACAGCCAAAGCTGCTGCTAAACACTGAGTCACATGGAAGGCATGGTCCCTACACGGATCCTAGACTTAGGATCCAGAAAAAAATAGATCTGGCCTGGCCCTCCAAGGCCCACAGCTTGGTTGTGGCCTCCAGCAAATCAGAGTTCTGCATGCTGGCACTTTGTTTTACAGACGATTTCAGGGCATCTATAGACCCCAAGCCCTGTGTTGGGAACCTGAGCTTGTGGAGCTGCCACCCAGGTGTGTGCAGTTCAGTGGGATGCTGGCAGGGGCCAGCAGGGGCTTCCTAGGTAGCAATGCACAGGAAATGCTGGATCAAAGAAAATTCAAGGGGCTTCTTTGCTGTGGGGCTTGTCAGAGCCTTTGATGTGCCAATGCACCAACACCAGGCTCCCAGAGGAGCGGAGTCTGCAGGACTTCCCAAACTCACTTGACCAGAGCCATTTATTTTTGGTAGACAGACTCCCCATTTTTACAGATGGGGAAATGGAAGCCCAGAGAGGGGAAGAAGTTACCCCAGGGTCACAGAGCAAATTTTTTGAAGTTCTGAAAACTCTATTCACTCAGTACCAGCCACCTTTCCATTAGCCCCCTCCCTCCCTCTGCTGTTGGAACCCCGGGCCTTTCCTTTGGTGGCCCCTGGTTGCCATGCCTTAGCTGTCCGCCATTGCCGATGGAGCCATGGTGTCTCCCAGGTCACCAATAGCAGATAGAGAAGTGTCTGCTGCCCTTCAGGGGTCTGTGCCAAGCCCAGAGCCACCTTGTGCATGGTTATCATGTGCCCCAGGAGCAAAGGGCGATGACAGAAGGTTGTACACACTTTTTATGGCCTGGCCACCTCCCAGAACAGCAAACACAGGGGCAGGCAGCTGGCACCAGAGCCCCTGGGGAGAGAAGGCCCTAGGTGGCAGACTCCCAGGAGTTTTAAAAAAGTATGTGTTAGTTCACATTGCTCACTTTCTTTTTTACCTTTCCTCCCTTCTTGGCCTGACCAGCACCCACTAGTCCTTTAGGTCTCAGTTCAAACATTACCTCCTGCAGGAAGACTCCCAGCCTGCCAGGGTAAGCTAGGAGCATGCTCTGTGATCCCTAGATGCTCTGGCTTCCCTGACGCCCAGAGCACACCTCTGATGGACACTTATCCTGTTATGCCAGTGTCATCCGTGTACCTGTCAGTCTTCCCACTCAGCTGGGGTCTCCTGGGGGCAAGGATTATGTGCTTCCTGGCCCAGCCATGCCGGGCACATGGGGTGTGCAATTGCAATCAATGTCATCTGTTGAAAGAAAAACCTGAACTGAAAGCATCTGGAAAATTAAAAAAAACTGATAAGTCTGATGATTCTGCTTACAATATGGGCTCAAATTTTTATATAGTCTCGGACTTACTCTAACGATGTCCTGTTTTGATCTTACAAATGTTTTTTTAAAGGTGACCTTTTTGCAGGCCGACAAAATCAGGAAAGGAATACGAAATTGTTAGGGAAGGGTAAGTATGATTTTTACGTCTTAAAATGTTTCTTTAATGCTATGTATAATGACTTTTATACATTTTTAAAAAGAGAAAAAAATTTATTCTTGAAGGTACATCTAAGAGATTCCACTCTATATACAACACCTGTCCAGCTGTGAGCTCTGTTTGGTCCAGAGAAAGTCCTTTGGGGGCTCCCTAGGGCACGGGCCCTGATGGCCTGCCTAGCGGGGTGGCATAAACCTGGCAGGGTGAACTCTGCCCCCTTCTCCCCTGCAGGGGCCTCCCTCTCAATCTAGAGGCCTCGCTGAGAACGCTGGTGACAAGATTCTGCAACCCAGCAGGGCAGTCATCAGAGCCCAGCGCTGTGTGCTGTGTGCCCAGCACCTAGCCTGGAAGGGTTCAGACACGTTACGATGGGGCAGGTAGAGGTGAGACTGCAGGAAGGTGATGGGGAGCTGACCATTCCTTCCTCCTCGGTCATGGTCTGCAAGCATTCCATCTTCTCTCAGCTCCATCCCCTTTCTCCAGGGCCAGGGGGGTCCCTACAGCAGCCTCCCACCCCACCCCTTGGACCTACTGAGGAGGAGGCGGGCCTGGGGCACTGTCTTGGCCTCTCCCCTAGCCCTCTGGGGCTTGAGATGCCCCCAGGAGGTTGAGACCTCCCGGCCTGAGGCCTGGAATGCAGGAGATGGCAGAGGTCCTTGTCCAACAGGCTCACTGCACAAACCGGCCAAGGGGATGCAGTGGGGGTGGGGGTGACTTGTTCACAGTGACCCAGAAGGTCAGTGGCAGGGCTAGGACTCAGATGCCCCCAGGAGCCACATTCCCAGCACCCGAGTCCCCAGGGCCCCCCGCCCGCAAGGCTGGGCTATGGCAGAAACTCCTCTTTGACAGGCATTGGGGAGGAGGTGCCCAGGAGGCCGGTGTTGCTGGGGCACAGGCCCCCCAGGGCTGTCTCGGCTGGGGTGGGGGCGACATCGTGGGCTGCTGGCAGCTGTGGGGGCTGTTGCTGCTGCTGCTTCTTCTTGTTCACTTTGCGCTCCTTTGCCCGCCGGTTTTGGAACCAGATCTTCACCTGTGGGATCCGAGAGCAGAGATGGGGCAGACGGCGGGAGGATTGACAGGAGCAAGAGGGAGAGAGGGAGGACGCTGAGCCCCGCTCCCGCTCCAGCCACGAATATGGCCCGTGAACACATCCTCCCCTTCCAGATCTTGCTCCCTTCTTCCGCCCCATCTTCCTAGGCCTCCTCTGGCACGCCTCCTCCAGGAAGCCTTCCCTGTTCTCCCTGTGACTTTTCCCTCCTCTAATTTAAATAGCATTTGACACCTCCTACAGCACCGACCATAGCCTGCTATGGCCTATGGTTAATCAGATCCCCTTACCCCCCTATTTGGGGGCAGGCATACTGAGTTTTGGGGATGGGGGAGGTTGGCAGCAGCTCAGTTTCTGCTGTGCTGTGTGACAATGGTCTGCAGACTCACCCTCTCTGTTCTTCTACTGAGCTACATAATACGCTTGGCAGGCTAGAGACCATAGTCCCCACACTGCTCCTATGGCGGAGATGGGGACACCCACACACCTGCCGTTCAGTAAGCCCCAGATTGGCAGCGAGCTCTGACTTCCTCCGGATGGTGATGTAACGGCTGTAATGGAACTCTTTCTCCAGCTCCAGGCGCTGGTGGTCGGTGTAGACCACGCGGTACTTGTCTTTGGTCCGAGTCTTACCTGAGAAGCAGAAGGAGCCAGGAGGGAAGGTGAGTAGGGAGGGGCAGCCTTCAGAAGGCTCAGGCAGGGCTCCCAGGAGGAAAAGCAGGACCCTGAACTGGGGAGAGACGTGCACCCCAGTCCTAGGGGCAACAGTCCTTCCCCAGCTCAGGCGTGCATGGCCTCTCATGCCCACTGGGCGGCACCGAGGCTCAGAGAGGGGACGCGCCCTGCTCAGCATTACCCAGCAAGCCGCTGATGGAGCTGGGGCTTCAGCCCAGGTCTCCTGACCCATGCATGGCCCTGCCCCGATTGCCAGTGCCACTAGCTTGGAGCCAGCAATTCCCAATTGTGGAGCTTGTGAAAAAAACAGAAAGCCTGGGGGTGGGATCTGCATGTTTAACAAACTCCCCAGGTGGTTCTGATTCCGGGGTCCTCAGCCTTGCACGTCAGGGACCTGGAGCGGATGCCTGGCGGGCAGGGGTGATTGACACCAACAAGATGTCAGCTGCTCCTTCCTCCTGTGCGTGAGAGGAGAGCAGGGAAGAGCCACTGCGGGTGGAGGTGAAAGCAGGAAGACTCAGGAACTGTCCTGAGCGTGAGGGCTGAATGCTGGAAGAGTCAGACAGGAAGGACTAGGGGTGTTGGTGAACCTCAAAAGGCTCTGGCCCAGGATGCCAAGCCCTGAGCTAGGGCTGTGCTGGGGGCCGGGAGCTGATCTGCTTAAGTCAGCCACAGGGCGGGAGTGACTCAGTCACTCCACATCTACTGACTGAGCTCGTGCTGTCAGCCAAGCACGGGCTACAGCACTGATCAAAAATAAAATAAAAATCCTTGCCCTCAGGAAGCTTAGGTTCTAGAGGAGGGAGACAGGCAGAAAGAAAATAATACAGACATTTGACATGCTAGTTGATGATAAGTATTTCAGAGGAAAAGGAAGCAGGGAAGGAGGACTCAGAATTTAGGGAGGATGGGGCTTATGATTTTAATAGAGTTGCCCGTGGAGGCCTTGCTCAGAGGAGAATTTTTTTTTTTTTTTAAGACAAGGTCTCACTCTGTTACCCAGGTTGGAGTGCCGAGGCGTCACAGCCTAGCTCACAGCAACTTCAAACTCCTGGGCTCAAGCGATCCTCCTGCCTCAGCCTCCCAAGTAGCTGGGACTACAGGTGTGCACCATCATGCCCAGCTGATTTTTCTTTTCTTTTTGGTAGAAAAGGGATCTCACTCTTGCTCAAGATAGTCTAGAACTCCTGAACTCATGCGATCCTTCCGCCTCGCCCTCCCAGAGTGCAGGGATTACAGGGTGAGCCACTGCGCCCAGCTGAGGAGGCGAGGGAGAGAGTCACGCGGGTATCTTGGGAAAGGGTTCCCGGCAAAGGGAACAGCAAGCATGAAGGCCCTGAGGCGGGAGCGTGCCTGCTGTCTGACATGTCTGAGGACAGCGAGGAAGCTGGTGGGGCTGGGGTGCAGGGAGCAAGGGGACAGGGATGGGACACAGGGGAGAGGCTCTGGGTTTCCCTTTGGGGTGGGAGCCATTGCAGGATTCTGAGCAGAGGAGGTGGAGGAGCAGGCTGGCAGGAGGAAGGAAGTGCAGGGAGATCTGCGACAACCCAGGATAGAGAGGGCAGCGTCTTGGCTTCCAAGTGGGGCTCGGCCTGGGGCCGAGGGCCTGATTTGCAGACCGTCTGGGGTTGATGTCAGGGCTTTCTTCGGGACTGGGATGGGAGGTCAGTCTGGAGGGAAGATTAAGAGTCATGCTTGGCCTGGGCTGGAGTGGGGCCCTGGCTAAACACCAGCTTCCTCTCCAAGAAGCCGAGCACGTGGCTATAAATAGGAGGCACACACAAGCACTCTCGGAGCCCACGCGTGTCCCGCCAGGACGTGGTGGGTCTCTGGATAAACACTGACCCCTCCCAGCTCACCCAAGGGCCCCGACAGCAGCCTCGCCTTCAGCTCCCTGGGTCACAGCCCGGCCCTGCCTGTCCCTCAGTGTCCCTGTGCTCACCACCCCCTCCTTGTTCTGGCCCCCGCCCCCTCCACCACGCCCACGCAGCTTGGCAGGAGAGCCGCTGGGCTCCCCGTGAGCAAACGGTGCTGTGGAGAACGGGAGACAGCAGATGTTCCCGGGCAGCTTCTCCCGGGGTTTTCTGCCAGAGCGGCGCAGCCGCGCCGGATGCGTCCACGTCCACTGGCCTCAGTCCGCTGCCCGAGGTAGCGCGGGATAGCCTCGGCCTAGGGCCAAGGGAGGGGCTGCCCGGGCCTCGGCTCCAGACGGGACCTCTGCTTGGCCTAGAAAATTCAACACTGGCTTAAAAACATGCCACCTCCACCAGAGCCCCGCGTGACTCTGAATCCACAGCCCCGCCGGGCCCGCCAGGCTGACATCAGAACAGGCCGTGGGAGTGTGGTCTCCTCCCACTGCACAGAGCAAGAGACCGTGGTTCACAATGGTTGCACGGCCACCAAGGTCCCAAGAAGAGGCCTGGTGAGGCCTGGTGTGACCTCCCTATATAGTCAGGGTCGCTGGAGGCCTGGGTAGGTCTAAGCGTTGGTGGCAGAAGTTTAACCGCAGACCACCCCTCCACTCTACTGCTGAGACAGGAGGGGCCGGAGCGTGGTGAGCACAGGCTCCTGAGAGTCCCGGGCTGGGCCTCGGGCTGGAGGGCCCGCAGGCTGGGGCCCTTTTAAAAGTGCCCAGAGGTCTCACAGCCACGCCCACGAGGTGGATGGGCCTGAGGCAGGGGATGAGGCCCCCTGCCCACCAGACTGGGCCTGGGGATGGCAGGCAGTGGCCATGCAGGCTGGCTGTCCCTTAGGCACCCAGCTCTCGCTCCTGCCCTTTCTGACGAGCAAGCAGGGACCCACTGTTTCATAGATAGGCTCATAAAGGGCCCTTGCTGAGGGCCATCCTGCCTGGTAGAGCTATGACCAGGACTCAGGTGTCCTGACCTCTGGCTCAGCTCTTGCCCGAATGGAGGAGGTGGGGCTAGACCAATAGGGCTTTAGCTGCACAATTACTCCTCTCTGTCCTGGCAAGGCTGCAGTGAAGACTGGGCCCATGGGCCTTGTCACTCCCTCTCTGTGCCCTGGAGAGGGGCTGGTAGGCTCAGGGACTCACTGGCCAACTTTTATCTGCCAGAGCTGTTTGAAGCATACAATTTAATTGCCAAGAAAACAGCTCCACCAAAGAACAAAATGTTTGATATCGCACTGTGTGGCCCAGAAACCAGGGGATCCCATATGCTGTCCAGGGAGTGATAACTGGAACAACTGGGCTCCTTGGAGCCCAAATTGGCTACATCTAGCCTTGTTTAGCAGGCACCTACCCTTTGAGCCCTGAAGTCCACTTCCAGGAACTGATCCTGCACAGACTTGCCCAGTGATGTTTCTAATAGCACAAGACTAAACACAGCGTGTATGTGTACAAGTAGGGAACTGGTTAAATAAGAAATGCTACATCTATGGAGAGGAGCGATCATTAAAAGGAAATCATAGGGCTGGGTGCAGTGGTCACACCTGTAATTCTAGGGCCTTGGGAGGCCAAGGCAGGAGGAACGCTTGAGGCCAGGAGTTTGAGACAAGCTTGAGCAATATAGTGAGACCCCGTCTATACAAAATTTTTAAAAATTATCCAGGTGTGGTGCCATGCACCTGTAGTCCTAGCTACTCAGGAGGCTGAGGCAGGAGGATCGTTCAGCCCAGGAGTTCAAGGCTGCAGTGGACTGTGATCATGCAGCTGCACTCTAGCTTGGGCAACTGAGCAAGATCCCATCTCCAGAAATAAAAAAGAAAAGAAATTCAAAAATTCCATATGTACTAATGTAGAGCAATTTCTAAGATATGTGAAAAAAAAGCAAGATCTATAATGGTGTAAATGGTATGTTACAGTTTATGCATAAAAAACGGGAGACACATACACACTCACACACATCTGTGCACCCGTATAGTTCTTTCTGAAAGAATATACAAGAAGCCAATAATAGCGGCTGCCTCTGAGGAGGGAACCAGAGGCTGGAAAGCCACAGGTAGGAAGGAGACTTTAGGGTGTTTAAATCTATACTCTGAGCAGATGTGAATTTGCATTTTTAATGACAGTCAGAAATCCTGGGCTCTAGTCCCAGCTCTGGGCCAGAACTCTGGACTGCCCCAAGTGGCCCTCCTCTGAGCACCTATGCCACCTCCAGCGCCCAGGAAGGAGGGGGCAGGGAGGTGCGTGAGAGCAGCGGGGCGGGGAGAGGGCCCGGGATGAATGATTTACAGGCCCCTGGGACGCTGGGGCTGAGGAGGGGGAAGTCCAGGCTCTCCTAACAGGTGTCTGATGAGGGGCCGGCCACTCCCAGCCACCTAATGAGTAACCCTCTGGGCCAGATGCCAGCGTAAATGGGTGGGAGGGAGAATGGGCCCCCCTCCCAGCTCTTGAGGGGTGAGCAATAGTAGAACAGAGCCTCAGATAATTCTCCCAAATGAGAGGCTTCCTCTCTGATCTGGCTTTGGGATACACAGAGTGTCCCAACCATGTGAATCAGGCTGCCATGGGAGGTAGCAAACTCCCCGTCCCCTATAACAGCATGCACAGTACAGGCTAACGGCTCCAAATGCCTGAACAGCAGCCTCAGAACTGCCAGGGAGCTTTTTTTTTTTTGTCAAGCACAGATTCTGGCTCCCAAAATTCAAATTCAGTGGGCTGAAATGGGGCTCAGGGACTTAGTACTTGGATAACTCTCCAGGTGACCCTGACATGTGGTTTTCTGGGCAAGCAAACCTCTGGGATTGTGGGGTGTAGCTTCTCACTGGCTGGGTGACCTAGGACAGTCTCCCCACCTCTCTGAGCCTCATTTTCTGCATCTGTAAAATGGGGATGATTGTCATTCTAACAACAGCCAGTAGATCCATGTGCCAGGCACTTCATATACATTTCTCAATTTCTCTGTGGGGTTATGTAACTCTTTTTCTGATTTTCCAGATGAGAAAACTGAGAATCAGAGAGAGCCACACTCCAGGCAGGTGGGATTCAAACAGGCTTATCCAGCCTCAGAAACAGCACCAGAACCTACACCGTGTAAGGTCTCCTGTAGTTATCTCCAACCCTGAACCACACCAGGGATCTCGGGATGGGTGGACGGTGTCTAGCACAGCACCTACCTGGCGTGTGGCAGACGCACAGGGAGGGCAGAGCTTACTCATTTCCAACAGTGATGGGGTGACCATCTGGCAGGAATGCCAGGAAACGGAGCTGATCTGTGCGATGGGCGGTGTGTTGGAAGAGACCATTTATTTATAAGGTCCCTTCCAACTGGGTAACACGAAGCTCTCAATGTTTGTTGATTCTCTGATTGTGTTTGTTATTGTAGCTGAAAGAATTCTAACACTGATTTCCCAGTCTGAGAGTCTAGACGCCGGGCCTGCCCAGCTGGAGGATGGCGGCCAGGAGCCACTGCAGCCTGCAGCAGGGCCCCCGTCCAGCCTGGGCCAGGCAAAGACAGGGTGTGGCCTCTGCCCCACGATGGGGTGAGTGGCTCTAAGAAAATCAGGTGGCCTTTGGGGCAGCCTCTTCCTTTGCCCTTTTCCTGCTGGGTTTGTGGCCCTGGGGGAAGACCAGCTGTGGCCCTTGGGGCCTGGACCACAAATCCAGCCCCAAACCCTCCGTGACCCCTCCCTGGGTGGTCTAGCACCAACTGCCCAGGCATCAAGATCCCATCCCCCGACACACACACACACCGGCACACACGCACCCACACAGGCACGCGTGCATGCACACACAACGGCTTGTGAAAAATACATATTCCCAGGCTCCACCCCAGATCTACTCCGTCCTCATCGCCCTGCCATTTGTAACAAGGCCCTGGCCACTCAGAACCACCAGCTGGAGTCGGCAGGTCCTGGTCCCAGTTCCATGCCATCTCTGCAGCCTTGAAGAAGTCCCTCCTCCTCTCTGGGCCTCAGTTTCTCCAGTCTGAGGGCCCTCTGGGCTCTGCGGTTCCGTGCAGCTCTGAGCCTTCCCTTAAGGACCAGGCCCCCTCTCCGCCCGCCGCCCAGGCACACCCACGGGGTGGTATGCCCTGCACATCCTCCAGCCACGCCCCTCAGAGACCCACACTGGGTGCAGCAGGACGGGGAGCTCACCGGTGCCTGGGGTGCCGGTCTGGGATGACACAGGGGAGACCACAGGGCCTTTGGTGGAGGAGCTTGGGGAGGTGGGAATAGGGTAGCCATAGATCCTACTGCAAAGAGTCCCCCTTTTCCCAGATGAGGAAATAAGTCCAGAGAGGTTGTTGGGTCACCTGCAGGGAAAACAGCAAAGGGAAAGCTGGGAAAGACAGAGGAGCTCAGGAGGACTGATCTCCCCAGCCCAGACAACACATGGAGGGGGCTGCAAAGGTGGCAGGGCGTGGGCCAGCCCCGAGGTGGGGGCACTTCTGGCAAGGGGCCTAAATCCTAGCAGCGTTACACTGTACCGAGGTTTGGGAAAGGTCGGGTGTACAGACTGGGCTGGGGAAGAGACCTGGGCTGTGGCCCAGCCTGGCCATCCCGAGCTGAAGGACCTGACAAGTGGGCTTCCCTTCCCCTGCCTGGGGAACAGCGTGCATGTGAAAGCAGTCGGGACAGGACAGAGAGCTATGGAGACGAAAAGGGGAACGGAGCTATTTGCAGCAGTGGATCCGGAGGCATCCCTTGGGAGAGGGAGGGATGTCACCTCATGGGGAGCCACGGGATCCCCTACCTGGGCCTGTTTCCCCATCTGGACCACCAGGAGTAGGACGTCCACTGAGCAGCTCTGACCTCACCAGTTCCACAATGCAGGGATGCCCTTCCTGGGACCTGAGGCTGTCCGTTGGGCCCACAGAAAGGTCCTTGTCCTGGCTGATTGGGCAATCCCAGGCTGCTACATCGTGGTTGCTCGCTCAAGCTCTGGAGCAGGGATGGGCTGGCATGGGGGCAGGGGTAAGGGACGGCTGGGCCAGCCGCTTATGGAAGCCCTGCAGCCTTAGCCAGGCCTTCCTCCCCCCCACCACCCTCCTTCCTACTGAGAGTTCTCAGTCATCACTGACCCCTCCTCCAGGGCCACCTTTGCACCATCTGCTGCCCTATCTGCTTCATCGAGGTCTACAGTCTGACCTGGCTTTGGGAGGCAGAAAAGATGAAGAAGGGACTTTAGAGTCAGATGGACTCGATGGTTCTAACCCAGCCCAACCACATGGCAGCAGCATGTCCCGGGCAGGTCAGTGGGTCTCTTTGAATCCCAGTTTCTTTATCTGTAAAACGAAGGCGTGAATGCTTCCTTTACATGGTAGTTATGGAGACCCGGTGTGATAGTCTCATTAACAAAGTAATTATTAACAAAAACTAGCCGTGATGACGATGATGATGACGATGAAGATGATGAGCACGAGGAGCCCATCGGAATGGATTACCATGCTAGGGACTCTTGAGAAGGACTTTCCTGCACTGTCCAATATGACAACCATTAGCCACATGCAGCTATTTAAATTGAAATTAATTCAACAAAATGTAAAATTCTGTTTCTTGGTGACACTAGCTATATTTCCAGTGCTCAACAGCCACATGTGGCTGGTGGTTACCCCAGTGGACAGCACAGGTACAGAGCATGCCCATCACAGCAGAAAGTCACGGACAACACTGCTGGGTCAAACTCCTGCCAAGGGCCAGATGCCCACACTGGGTGTCATACATGCCTACTAGCCGCAAAGCAGCCTGTTCTTTCCTCTGTCGCCCATTTATGTTCTTCCTAAGCTTTTCCAGAGGGGCACCCAGACTAAGGGGCAACCTCAGCCAAGCACAGCCCTTCTAAGATTTGCAAGCAGCAACTGCATCCGTTCAGGTCTCCGCACAGGCTGAACAACTTGAGGCTTCCCTGAGCTGTTTCCTGGTGGTTTCCAGGCCACTGCCCCACCTGGCCATCTTCCTCTAGTCTGGAAGTGACTAATCTTCTGCCAGTGTGGGCCCTGGCGTCTCACATTCGGGGTGGGGGTACAGGAAGGGGTTCTGGCCTCCAGCCCTTTTCTGCCCCTCGCTGGCCGCCTGACCTTGATAAGTACCCTTCCCTCAGGTCATGGCTCCTCACGTGCTCAGGGAGGGTACGGGCCAGGCTGTTTTGCTCACCCAGTGCCCATGATGCACCTGACACATGCAATGAGTACCTGGTGAATCCCTGGTGAAAACACAAAACAAACCTGATACTTCCTCCTTTTCCTCCTCTCAGTAAACAGCAGCCCCATCCTCCAGCCACGGGGGCCAAATGATGAGGTGGCACCTCTGAGTCCTGTCTCCCTCGCTCCGCACATGCCCCGCAGCAGCTGGCCAGCTCACATCCTTCCATCTTCCAGCTCCACGGCGCCTGCAGCCTTACTCCAGGCCACTAATCTAACGGGCAAGAAATGTGCTGTTCTGGGGTCAGAAATCCTGCTTTTGGAAAAATGCTGAGCACATGCTGAGCACTCAATAGATGCTAGCTCATATTATCATCACTATAATAGATGCTCAGGGCTTATTTGTTAAATAGTTTATTCCCCTCTTTCATGGGTGGTAAATTAAAAACAGACGAATGAAATAACGACAAACCGTGATCAGTAGTGGGAAGGAAAGTGAGCCGGGAGCTGAGGGCTAGACTGAGTGGGGCAGGGGGAGAAACTGACTTGACTTAGCTGGAGGAGGTCTCCTCTAAACCAAGACCCGGAAGGCTGGGAAGGAGCAAGCAGGGAAAAAGATATTCCAGGGAGCACACACAGCATGTGCAAAGGCCCGCAGGCAGCTTGGAACAGAGTGAGGGTTGGCGAGGGCCGGCTCCCTGAGCTCAGGTGCGTCCCGTCTGCCTATTGCTCAGGCCATAACCTCCGACGCCTAGAAGCATGCTGGGCACAGAAGAGACACTCAGAGACTATCACTGCCTGCCCGCCGGAATGAATGGATGAGAGAGGCACCAGATGAGGCTGGAGAGGCCAGCAGCGCCTCCGGCAGGAGGTTTGCATTTGGTTTGAAGAGCAGCAGGGAGGCATGGGAGGGTGCTGGGCCTAGCCTGCTCCTCCATTCTGGTGACGCAGGGGGTGGACGTGGGGTGCCCCTACAAGGCTTCGGGGTGAGTGTGGTATGGGGAAGTATGGTCCGGCAAGTTCACACAGCGAGGGCCCCCACTCCAGATGTGAATACTGTGTCCGCATCCCAGGAGCTTCAAGACCGACACCCAACAGGCCGGCCCATGAAGCTAATCGCGTACTGACGAGCCAGCCCCCGCCGCTAGCAGAGCCATTTCCAACCTTCACAGTGATGCCCTAAGCTCCACGCAGCCGTGTCTGCCAAAGCAGGGCGGGGGAAACACCCAACCAAAAAAACAGCCTTCTGCCACCTTCTAACTAGGTCATTCCCCTTCCCAGCTACATCTGAGAGATGAGGTGTCAAACGTACCTTCTGCCTGGAGAGCCAGTTTTAAACAGCCTGGCCCCTGCTCTGGCCCCTCTCCCCCACCCCGCCCCACCTCTTCTAGCTCAGCCCCTGACTGGCCTCCTTTTCCCCTACCTGGGCTGGGATGCACGTGGGAGCCGGGGTCTCGGGCTCCTGTTCCTGAGCATGTTCCTTTATTGGACAGACGCTTGTTGGGCTGTAGACTCCGGGTCTGAACACTGTGCGGCCATGTCCTAGCTGTGTGGGCCTGGGCAGGCCACCTTACCTGCTCTGAGCCTCATTAACCTTCTCTGGAATATGAGTCTAATAACAAATCCTTACACCTCGCAGGGTCAGTATGAATAGACTTAAGTGAGATTAATCGTGCAAAGCTCTTGGCACAGTGCCTGGCACATGGTGAGGAGTCAGCCCATGCCACAGTTATGTATCACGAGCTCCTAATATGTGCAGTGCAGGGTGAAGATGGGACTGGTTAGGACTGGTCCTTGAGGGGATCACAGATGGCAGGTGGCAGGGATAAAGAAGATGATGAAAGTAGATAGTCAGTGATGAGTGTTGCGAAAACAAGGGCTGACACAGTGTGGTGGGGGGACAAGGAGGGCTTCCCAGGAGGAGGTAGCCTTGGAGAAGGAGTAGGATTTGAACTGGCGAAGCCGCAGGAGAGGGAGGGGAGGGCAGTGTGGTTGAGGGATCAGACTGGGAGGCAGGGAGTGTGAGGGGTGTGCTCAAGTGCACCTGCCAAGGACTGGCAGAGGTGGTCACAGGCACTGATGCTCTGAGCACCTACTGTGTGCCAGGTGCAGGGCTATGCCTGACAAGCACCATGGCTTCAAGGTACCATCCTATTATTGTCCTGATGTTATTACTACAATGGAAGAAACCCAGGCTCAGAGAAACGATCCAAGTTAGCTTGTCTGAGGCTGTACAGCTTCTAACAGAAATGCAATCCCAGGTCTCAGACTCACAAGCTCCAGCTCTTAACTGTCCCCAAGGAGGATCTCTGTATCCAGGCAAACTAGTGGGAGAATGGCTTCCATCCAGGCTTGGGGCCAGTTCTCAAGAGGGCTCTGAATGCTACAGAAATGGGGCTGGATTTTACAGCAATGAAATGACATAAAATGAAATGATCAATTCCATGGCAGTGGGGAGCCACAGAATGCTCTTGAGCAGGGGATGTGCTTTGAGAAGGCAAATCTGGCAATGGTTTAGAAGACAGCTGGGGTGTCAGAGAGAGGCTGAAGGCGAGAGGCCAAGTTGGTGGCTGTGGCAATGGGCCAAAGGAGAGGGCCTGGAATGTGGAGGGGAGAGAAGTGTTTGCCCCTTTCATGGGCCTCAGTTTCCCCATCTGCAAGCTGAAGGGGTTGGACCAAGATCTAAGCCCTGTTGCAACAGTCTGGTCATCTGAGTGAACATCTCCCTAGTCCCATGAGACCTCAGGCACCCCAGCGGGCCATTAACCTGTGCAGCACTGTTTATTCACGGGGAACTGGAGGCTGAGCCTTCCAGGAAAGGATGATTTATAAGCCTCCTAATGAAAACGCTGATATTTATAGATGCAAAGAGAGAAGACAAAAAAGTAGAACCCCTTCTAGTCATTTCCTATCCTGGCTTCAGTCAAGTGATACTAATCGCTCGGAACTGACTAATATTCTGTTTATGGATGGAAGACTGATGGAAGCCCAGGAGCCCCTCCTTAGAATTAAGCTGGAGTCCTAGTACCAGCCTCAGCTACACCAGTCCCCCAAGTAAGTCAGGGGTACTGTCCAAGTGGGGACACAGGGGCAGCCAGGCTGCCACCATTGGACGGAACTGCTTGGCTGGACAGCCGCAGGTCCCAGTCCCAGGGATGGGACCTCAGAAACCCGCGTCAGATCTGAGATCTCCCCCTGCCCTGTTCTCCCACAGATGCCCTTTCTCCCTCACACTTGCCCTGTTCCTTCACTCAACAGAATGTCCTGAGCACCTGCTAATGCCACACACTCAGCTGGGTCCCCAGGATGTACTGCTGTGTCACAGACACAGCTCTGGACCCCACGGGAATACACACACACACACACACACACACACACACACATTTAGGTAAGGAACTGAGTAAACTGGAATTGGGGTTGGTGCTCTGAAGGGAACACAGCAAAGATTATCCATGATTATAGGGGGAATCTCCTTTGGGAGATCATGGAGGGCCTGTTGGAGGTGACCATGAAGCTAAGACCTGAAGGGTGAGAAGAAGCCAGGCTTGCAAAGAACCAGGGCAAAGAGCATTCCTGGAAGAGGGAACAGCATATGCACAAGACCTGAAGTGGGACTCGGCAGGTCTGAGGAACTACAAGAAGGCTAGAGTGGCTGGAGCTTGGAAAATAGCCTGGGGTGAGGCCAGGGAGCGATCAGGGCTGATGCGACACTGTGCAGACCTCAGGGAGGAGCGTGGAGGTCGTCCTAAGTATGATAGGAAACCACAGGGAAATTCTAACCCATCTCTCTGCCGCCTATCCCGGCTTAGCCTTCGCTTGTGTGCCGCTGGAACATTCCTTACAGTGTCTGGACCTCAGTTTCCCCATCTGTATGATATCTAACTTCGGGTTTGGATGTTCTGGAATGCTAGAGGCCAGGGAGAAGGGGCTGGCCGAGAAGGGTGGCAGGTTGAAGAGCTGGTGGCCAGCTTCAGTGGGGGCGGGCAGGGTAGGGGCATGCACTGACTTTCCCTGCTGTCCCAGACAAGCTCCCCTGGAAACCCTGCGCCTTCAATGCCCAGGAGAAACTGAGGCCAGAGAGGGGAGAGAATTGGCCTACCCCGATTCCACCCCCACTTCAGGAGCACTGGTGAGCACCAGAGGCCCCCAGGAGACGGGCAGCAGCTCTGGCCTCAAGACAGCCGAGCCTCTGCATCCTCAGCAAAGTGGGGCAGCCCTGTCACTGGAGCCTCAGGACCCCTGCACCTCCCTTGGCCCTTTACTCTACTTTCTGAGAGCGATGGTGGAAATGCTTTCACCCACGTCCATCTGCCTGCAAACAGCAGTCTATAAATGACACTTGAGACCAGAGGGTGAGCTGGGTTTGGCAGCTCTTGTGCCCAGAGAGATGAGCTGATGTGTCTGGCATTCCACAGCCTGGGAGCCCCCCCCAAGTGCCCACCAGTCCTCTGATCCCCACTGGCCCTTTCCTTCCCCCTCACACAGTGATGGCCTCTCTCCAAGTCCTCGCCCCTGGGGAACCTCCCCATCTATCTCCAAAGTCACCTGATCAGCAGGAAGCAGTGGGTGGAGCAGAAGAGTCGGAAAGGCAGGCTTCCTACTTCAGAGCCTGGCAGACCCAGAACTGCAGGACCCTGAGGGCCCACGTCCCCTCCCACCTCCTCTCATATGATCTAATGTGGGGTTCTTAACTCAGAATCTACAGATAAAGCTTGTGGGGGCCTCCAGAACCCGTGAAATTGTCTGCCCAATGATACATTATTTTTTTCCTAGGGAGAAGATTTGTACTTTCCACCAGATTTTTTTTCAGAGGAATCCTTTTATAATTCCAAGAAGGGTACAAACCACTGCACAACCTCCCTTCCCTCTCATTTCACAGGCAGTAAAACTGAGACCCAGAAAAGATGGCTGATCTAAAAGAGTTGTGGATTAGAGCACAGGCTTGGTGCTCCGTCTGCCTGGGTTCAAATCCCAGCCCCATCAGTTACTGGTTACATGGTCTTGGGCAGTATTTAACCTATGCCATAGTTTCTTTTAAAAATGGCGGTGATAATGGAACCTCCTGTAATGTTAGAAGAGCTAAGTGAGTTAATACATGCAAGATTTTAGGTCAGCACCTGGTCCATTAGTAAGAGTTCCATAACATTAGCTGCTATTATTTAATCAAGGCCACAGAAGCAAGTGGCAGAGCCTGGTCCCCTATATCTCCCTGAAGGCAGATAGGAAGTTCTATATCCCTGGGACTTGGAAAAAGAGTGTGTGATTACAGCCAGAGCCTGCAGCTACTGATCAGGCCCTCCCGGCATCCGCCCTGGAGGCAGGCGGTTGTGGGGGGAGACAGGGGGGTGAAGAGACAGAGGAGGTGGGGGGGAAGTCCCAGGCTTACTCCTAGCTGGGGGAAGGGGAGGAGGAGCTGGACATCAAAGGGTGGGCAGGCCAGTTTCCCGCCCCTAAGGCCAGGTGGCCTTTGTCAGGACAGGCCGGACACAGTTGGGACAATGGGGAATCGTGTTCCCTTTCCAGCCAACAGGAGTCACTACTGAGCCAAGACCCAGCCTGTTACATGACAAAGGGGGGACCCATAAAGGAGGCCAGGCTGCCCTCATTAAAGCTGAGTCTTTGTGCTGCCCCCTCCCCTGCCTTTGAAGAGGGTGGATCAGAGAGGCCTGCCTGGGGGCAGGAGGTTCACAGGCTCAGGAGCCAAACAGTAGCCACCTTCCCAACTGCTCGGCGCCCCTCCCCCAGGGTCAAGAGTTCAGGGAGGGCCCTGTTAGGTAAGGTAGAGACCCCTTTCCCCAATCGAACCCAAAAGGTTTTTCCACCCAAAGGGTACGACCCACCAGTCTGTTTACTGAAAGATGAGGAGACTCAGACCTGGAAAGGAGAGTGACCTGCCCACGTTCAAATCGTCCAAGAGTTTGCTGCCTTTGCTTGGGGCGAGGTTAGGAGTGGAAGAACCCCATGAAGACCACCAGGGTCAGTGTTGCGACAAGCATAGGGGCCTGTGTTCTAGTTCCAGCCTTGGCCAGAAACCACAAGGCAGCGTCCTCACTTTGCAGGGGTCTCGGTTTCCCTACCTACACAGAAAGGGTTAGGCTGTGCTTCTTAGGGCTCCGGCAGGCTGATTCAGCAGGGGGGAGCTGAGCGAACAGCCCCCCAGGACGAGACTGGTCAGGAGGGCCACACTGCTGGGAACCCGAGCAGGGCCAGAGAAGAGGTCAGACAGGGGTGGCCCAGGCCGCGCCAGAGCACCTGCGGTGGCAGGAGAGCCGCCCAGAGGCGCAGGACGAAGGAGGGGTCCTTACCGCTGCCACCGCTGCCACCGCCGCCTCCGGCCACCACGCTGCGCCGCATCCACTCGTAGGGCGTCCGCCTCTGCGCTCCGGGCGAGGACGGTGAGCCCGGGCCGCCGAGGGGCTGTGCCAGGAGGCCCGGCCCGGGCCCAGGGGGCGCGGGCACCGGGCTAAAGTCCGGAGGGGGCCCGAATGCCAGAGGAGCTGGGCTGGCGGCGGGGATCGCGGGGACTGCAGGCCCGGGGCCATAGGCGGCTGTCCAGTCGTCCTTGGGCGCGGGGAAGGGCGCGCCCCAGGCCGTAGGGGGCGCGGGGGCCGGCTCCACGTGAGAGTAGCTGGCGAAGTCGGGGTACTGCGGGGGCGCGGGGGGCGGGGCCGGGGGGCCGTAGGCTTGCGGGCCCAGGCCGAGACTCGCGGGCCTGGCGGGGCCGGGGTACACGGGAGAATCCTTGTCCAGCACATAGCCCACATACATGGTGGCCGCGGGGCCCCCCGCGCATGCTGGGCCCCGGAGCCGCCGCTGCCGGCCGCCCCGACGACGCGCAACTGCTCACCTGAACCCGCCGGCCTGCGCCGCCCGCCCCACCCAGGCCTTTTATAGCTCCCGGCCGCCCGCGGCCCCAGCCAGGCGGGTTTGCATTTCAAAGCGGGGGGAAGCCTCCGGGCCGCGAATCAAAGGGGGAGACCCGTCGGGGGCGGGGGGTTCAAAAGGAGACAAATTGCTGCCCGAGCGGGAAGTGCACTGGCCAGGGCCTCAGAGGGTAGGGGCGCGTCCCGGGCCAGGGTCGAGGCGACGCCACGTGTGGGAATCGCTCCGGAGGCCAGCGGCATTGCGCCCGAACACCTAGTCCTTCTCGGGCCGTGTCAACGGTCCCGCGAACCGGCTTTACAGGTGGAGAAGCAGGCTCGCAGGGGCACAGGGACCCCAGGCCAGCGTCGTGCAGCCACACCGGGCCTGTGGCGCGCTCTGCAGTGACCAACCTGTGGTGAGGGGGCAACTGGACTTCAAACAGTGCTCCCGGCTGTAAGGTAGTGGGTCCTTAACCTTTTGAGGAGGAGGGGTCACGACCCCTCTATCCTGAAAGCTGTGGATGTCCCCCCCCCAGGAAATGCACATATGCACATGCGTGAGTCTGCATGCTGCTGGGAGGGGTGGCCTGAGTTGGCTTTCTAGAGAGAGCACCCAAAGGCATGCTGGGGAGGAGGGGGTTCTTCTGGGGACATTGTAGGAAATTTTTCCCAAATTCTCTTGGCGACCCCCTGTCCCCTTTTTTTTATTGAGAAGTTTCAAACATATACAAAGGAAGGGTTGTATAATGAACTGCTGTATACCCATCACCCAGCTTCAACAGTTATCAGGGTTTTGTCACATTTCATCTACTCCCTTCTTTTTCTAAAGTATTTTAAAACAAATTCCAGACATCATGTCATTTTACCCCTACATACTTCAGCGTGCATCTCTAAAACACATGGACATTTTCTTACATAATATGCCATTGACACATCTAACAAATTAACTCAAATTCCTGGGTATTACCTAACCCACAGTTTGTATTCAGAGTACTCCACTTGATTCGGCAATGTCTTTTTAGCAATTGGTTTGTGTGAATTAGGACCCTAAAGCCCTGATCCTTTTATTATAGCTGGGTCCCCGTTGGTATTTTTAATGAATCGTGTGTGCCCCCCCCCCATTAAGGATTGGCAGACATTTTGTGGTGATGGGAGAGGGATTGGAGGGAGGGGGCAGGGAAGAGTTGAGAGGGCATCAGTGAACTGGGGGGGGGGCAAGGCTGAGGGACTGGGGAAGGATTCATGAAGGACAGGGCTCTGGGTCAGGAAGCCTGGGGGAGATGCGGTCCTTCCCCACAGGGGCTTTGTACCGTGGAGCTATACGGAAACCCCCTACGGGATTTGATCCTCTGACATTTCCTAGGGGCCCCCTCAAAGTGCAGGGATGTGTGGCCCCCAGAAGGAGGCCAGAATCAGGGTCTCATCTGTTCCAACCTGTCTCTCTCTTGGGTCCCCATATTAGCTGACGCTGGTCAGCGCCATCTCAGGGCTAGGCAGATATTTCGGGATCGGGGCATAACTTTCAGGGCCCAGTGCAAAATGAACACACAAGGTCCCGTGTTCAAAAATGATTAAGAATTTCAGGATGCTGACAGCAGAGCATTCAACTGAGCATGGGGCTCTTCTGAGCACTGGGTGACCTGCCCATGAAGCTGGCCCTGGGCAGAATCTTGCTCTTCCGGGGTTCCGATGGATACTGAAACAGAGCTGGGGACTCAGTAAGCCCAGGGCTCCCCTTCCTGCTCAGAGGAACTCCTTCCATTTTTCCAACAGAAACATCAAGGCCCAGGAAGGACAGGGGGTCGTGCATGGTGTATGCAGCAAAATGAAGGCTGCCGAGGGAGGGGGAAGGGGGATGCCTGGGTTGTTGCCGATAGGGATGAGCACTTGGCTGCCTCAGCACAGAAGGCTCTGCATTCCCAGGTCAGGAAGTGGACATGGAGGTGAAGCTTTTCTCAGCAGTCATCAGGAGCTCTGGGCTTTGCTCAGACCCAACCTTTCAAGGGGCCGGAGAGAAATTGAGAAGTACACGGAGGAGAGAGGAGAGGCCCAAGAGGACTGAACTCCACCGCCCGAGCTGAAGTGACTGGGACTGCTCGGACTGGCGAAGACCTGGAGAGTGCACTGAGTTTGGGGAGGGAGATAGGGCAGGCCTAGGACCTGAGAGAGAAAGCTGCAGGTGCAGACATAATAAGGTGCTCTCTAAATGGCCATCCATCACGAAATGGGCTGTTATGAGAAAGAGTGAGCTCACCATCACAGGAGGTATGTAAGTGACTGCTGGAGGTTAGTCTCCAGGTAAGGATGCTGTGCAAAGGATGCCTACCCTAAGAAGAGGTTGGTGGCCTCTAATTCCAAGAGTATGCTAAATCAGCCCTAGATGGTAGGCTTAAAGGTTGGGAATAGGCATAAGAATTCATTTCTTTATGTATTCATTCGTTTGACAAATACATATTCACACACTTCCTTTGCACTGACACTGTTAGGTACGGGGTGAGGCCCTGCTCTCGGGGTGTAAATAGCTGGGGGTTGGGGGTGGACAAGTGTGACTAAAATAATCACAAATAAAGGTAAAATGACATCTTGGCAAGGGCCAGGAATAAGGAGATTTGACCCAGAGGGAGGAGCAGAGAAGCCTTGCAGGAGGAAGTGACAGTGACATGTGAGTCAAGGCCCAGGGAGTGGGGAAGGGCGCTGGGGGCCAAAGGTCAGTATGAACAGAGGCCCTGAGGCCCGAGGGGACATGTTCCTCTAGCCCTGAAAGACCAGTCTGGAGCGCAAGGGGCAGGAGGCAAGTCTGTGAGGGACAGGGCAGGCCTGGTGGGCCAGGCCATGAGGGCTGTGGGACGTTATTATCTAGGGTCTAGGGTGGTAGAGGGGGGCGGCGGAAAGAAAGCTGAGGCTGGCGTGCAAAGCATGAGCCAGGGGAGATGTGGGGAGCCCGAGAGCAGCAAGGAGCGGGGCAGGGGTCCAGGAGAGATGGAGATGGTGGTCAGGACTCAGGTGGTGGCCGCCAGATGGGGGCCAAGGCAGCACGGGACTTTCTGAGCAGAGCAAGGACTGTTTCCTGACCAGGGAGAAGGCAGCGCCAGGGAGCCGGGGACCCAGCCCCACTGCTCTGTGGTCCCCTCAGTACCATGCCGTCCTAAGGTGGATGTAGCTCCCACTCCGCTGACACGTCCTGGGCTGGGGTGGCCTCCACCGTTCCCACGCACCCCAATCCCAAGCTTCCTGACTCCTAGCTCAGTGCCCTCTCGCTGCGAATCTCTGAGATTGCAGGGTTTGGCTCTTTCCTTTGTGCTAGAGTAATAATAACAATAATAACAATAACAGCACTGCTATTTATTGAGCATTTACTCAGGGCCAGGTGTCATGCCAAGCCCTTTGCATGTGTTATCTCAGTTCATCCTCACAACAGCACACGATGAGGTACAGTTGATAGTTGTCCCCATTTCGCAGATGAAGAAGCTGGAGCTCTGAGAGGTGGTCACCTGCCTGAGCCACACGCAAGTCAGTGGCCTATCTGGAAGTTTTTCTTCCCTCTCCAGCTGAGCCCACCTGCTTCTACATGCCTCTCGGCCCCCCAACTTGTTAGCTGGAATTTTGCTTAAACAAATAGCTGGTTCCTCTTCCTCCTCTGGCTTCTTCATGCAAAAGAGCCTCTGCTCTCCCCTTGCCCTCACCCCTTGATGGACCCCCCCCCAATTAGAGTCCTGAGCCAGCCCATATGTGGCACCACCAGAGTCCCCCTCCGGAGGACACTGAAACCTTGTTTAAAAGCCCCAGGCTGGGAGTCTGAAATTGCAGGTCCTCTCCCACCTTGGCCTCTGCCTTGCCATGTGACCTTGAGTCCCTGCACCCCAGTCTCCCCTGGTGCCCCCCGGGGCTGGTTGCCTTAGACAGCAGTCCAGCGTGGCTCTGTGCATGGAGAAGCCCCATCTGCCCTGTCCCATGGGCGGCCTCTTCCTCCCTGACAGCCCCTTATCACTGGGAGCGGTTGTTTGTTGGACCCCTCCTTCCTCCAGCTCCGGCTTGGCTCAGCTCCGGGCAGGCCCCTCTTCCTTCTGGAAACCCTCCTCCAGGCTGCTCTCACACACGGGCCAGAGCCTCCTGGGGTGGGGCAGGAGCCGGTGGCCTCATAAAGATCTTAGTGATAACTGGGTTTTTAAATCAGGGTTATGGCCCTGGAAGAGAAAAGCTTCTGGACTCGGGGCTTTCTGTTGGCGATAGTTTGCTTAAGAGAAGCTGGGCACCTCGGTGGGCACCGGGGTCAAGTGTTGGGCCTACTGTGCCCCCCACCACTAGCTGGAGGTTCTCTGTAGACTGTAGTCCAAGGGCTTTGGACCGGGGCCCAGTCCCAGCCAAGCCTAATGTCACTCTGTGATCTTGGGCCAGCTGAGCCCCTGCTTCCACGTCAGAAGGGAGGATGGAATTCCTGCCCTGCCCAGCTCCAGGCAGGAGGCCGGCGAGGCTCACAAGTGGGTGCAGGGGCTCCTGTGAGGCATCTGTGCCTTCCAGACCCCTCTGCTCCCCACACCGGTCCCCTTCTCCTGCCCCCCGCCAGAGGCTGGGGCGCCACCTGCTGGCACTCCAGGGTACTACTGGAGGAAAAGCCTGGATGCCACTGAAGTCGTCCTGGGGAAAGAAAGTGGTATTGGATAGCAGTCCCCTGCACACGGACACTTGGGGAGCAGGGAGGATGCTAGAACCAGAGGCCCAGGGCACAGAATGTCCTTATCAGAGGAGCACTGTGTCTGACCCATCGTGCAGAGGAGTTACAGAGCCCAGGGAAGGAAAAAGAGTCACCCCATGAGTCAGGGGTCAAGCACAGACTGGGACCCAGAAGCCCAAACTCCCCGTTGAGATGCATTCCTGCAGCCTTTCAGATGGGGAAAGAGTTGGGGGCAGCGGGCGGGGATGCGGGCAGCATTCAGTCCACTGTCGACTGCAGCAGCCTCCACACTAGCCACCTGCCCCGCC